TGTATAGTTGAGAGCTTTCTAGGAATATTGGTGGTATATCTAATTAAAGTTAAATAACAAGAGCTTTTGTGATTATGGAAAAAACAAATCAATAAAGTAGAGATTATAATTCTATGTCCTGCACTGACCACCTCTTTAGACCAGAGCAAGTGAACAATGGTGGCCCAGGAGGGACATATTCAGTGTTGCTACAAAATCAATTCATAATGGATGAATTCAAATCATTAGATATTAAAGGGTTTCTTCTCTGCAACTGTCCAGCTTTGCTTATAGAAGAGGATCTGTGTATGTTTCCAGGTATCTGTTTTCAAGATTTTCAAATGTAGAAAGTGGGTGAAAATGTATTGTTTTTGTATTCATCCATATACTTTATACAAACTTTGGCCCAATAGTAGCCCTAAAGGTGCACTATGTAACTTTTTGGGTGGGGGTTTGTCATCTTTTTGTTTCTATGGATATGTCATTGCCTGCTTCAGATGTTAAACAATACAACATTAAATAGATCAACTTTATATGTATTCAATTGCAGGTTGTTTTATTTCTTAAAAACACTTAGAAAAACAGGCATTCTGACTGTGACTGGGGTTGCCTCTCCACAGATCTACCAGTAACTTGGCCTGGTTTACTCTCCATAGAGAAAAGCAGGTGGTGGACCCATCCATCCATCCATTTTCGTCCGCTTATCCGGGGCCGGGTCGCGGGGGCAGCAGCCTAAGCAGGGACTCCCAGACTTCCTTCACCCCAGACACGTCCTCCAGCTCCTCCGGGGGAACCCCGAGGCGTTCCCAGGCCAGCCGAGAGACATAGTCCCTCCAGCGCGTCTTGGGTCTTGCCCGGGGCCTCCTCCCGGTGGGACATGCCCGGAACACCTCCCGAGGGAGGCGCCCAGGAGGCATCCGGAACAGATGCCCGAGCCACCTCAACTGGCTCCTCTCGACGTGGAGGAGCAGCGGCTCTACTCCAAGCTCCTCCCGTGTGACTGAGCTCCTCACCCTATCTCTAAGGGAGCGCCCAGCCACCCTGCGGAGGAAACCCATTTCAAGCGCTTGTATCCGCGATCTCGTCCTTTCGGTCTCTACCCAGAGCTTATGACCATAGGTGAGAGTAGGAACAAGACTGACCGGTAAATCGAGAGCTTCGCCTTTCAGCTCAGCTCCCTCTTCACCACAACGGTGAAGAGGGTGGTGGATCCTGCACAAGAAAAGTTGCACAATACACCTTTAAGTAGTGCAGAAAGAAATGGCTTCTTCTCCAAAACTACCCAGCCCCTACCCATTAATGGTGTATTATATTCAGAATTGCCCTTTAGTGAGAATTTGGTCCACTGGTGTTCATTCATTCGACTCACTACTTTCTATCAACCTTCAGAGTCAATGAGCCTCCAAATGTGCATCATAAGAGCAAGTACGACTTATGTTCAGATAATGGAGAGACAGTTGGAAAGACCCTATACTGTAACATATGGGGTGGTTTATTGATAAGAACTCATACATGCATTATATATGTGTGGCACTGCCCCCTGGACATGTCACCATTGGCATCCCATGTAACCCAGAAAGCATTCACAACAAAGGGTTATAGGCAATACTGACAAAAATGTGTATTTCCTTTTTTTCCAACATTATGACAATCTATCAAAACTATGCTATAACCTTCAACTGTTTTTGCTGACCTTTTATCGATGTTTTAATTTTGCAGATCTACAAAACAATACCCCCTCTGCTAATAAGCATTAGTGAAAGTGACACTAGGTTGCATTTTACATATAACAGAGAGACAGTAAGTTAGATGTCCGCCCATGGTCCAAAACGTTTAGATACCGGATAAGAGTTTACCAACTTTACTTCACAGTCATAACATTAGATGCTTTACAAAACTTTACAAATGTGTATTGTTCACATAGTAAGAGACCGAATAGTAGTAAATGTAGCCTAAATAAAGCCAAAAAACAAACAAACAAAAAAAACGGTGTCTGTATATCTATCTATAGACAACTGCAAGAGCTATTTTTTTTCCTCACTAATACTGTACAGTTCAAACCAAAATTACATGATGAAGTACTGTCATGTATTCCTTTTAATGTAGGAACGTCATTGTAGTAGTAGTCAGTTACTTCCTAACACTGATTGTGGGCTATAACATTTGCATACACCACTACCCCAGTGCTTACACCAATATAGCTGTATTCCACTGTTCACCCTCTGCACTCTGGCTGACATGGGACACAGATCGACTTTGAACACCACAGGCACAATCACTGTAATGAACCCAATCAATGCTACACAGAACCCCAGAACACAGTAACACAAGAGATTCAGACCTTCTAATGAAAATACTACACTAGTCTTGTTCATTGTTGTGCTCTGTTCCTGTTCAAATAAGAACACCACACCACACTGCAAAAAGCTATATCTAGGTAAGTTAAATATGAATTCAATTAAGAACATTTTACTTGATTTGTGTAGATTCAACTTGTGTCTGATTATCTGTCAATAGAATAAGATTTTACTTCTCATTTTAACTGGAAAGATTTGTTGTTGTTCTCATCTTATGTGTAACAAGATGTATTTTAATATTTCAAGTATAAAAGATCTTGTGCATTGGTAGATAATATTACGTACCGATTCAAACTTACTCAAATCAAGTTTAAACTTTCTTTACTCATCTAATTTTAACTTAGCTAGATTTCACTTTTTGTAGTGCATACACTACCAGCTCCTTTAACTCTAGGGACAGCCTGCAGAGAAGAGGAAATACTCCATTGGTTTGTTGTTTGTCTACGTGGGTGGGAAAGGCCAAGTGCAATAAGAAACTATCAATACTAAGGCTATTTTTAAACTGTTTATTGTTCCTACTTAACTGAACCATCACGACGTGTGCATGTGGTGTTTAATCACAGGGCTAATTGCCTGTCATCTTTCATTAAGTCTCACTGGGCATTTGATTGCAATTATTAAAACCATTAAAAGATAATGTATGTGACTTTTTTGCATTTATGATTTTTTCCTTCTGGGAGTGTATCACAGTGTTTTTGCATGTATGTTAGATGCCCTTCCTAAAGCAATAATCTCAATTTCACCCCTCTGACACTCTAAATATTTGATGCTTGGCCTACAATGTTCCACAGTCTGGCATTAAAGTTCTCTATCTCTATGGACACAGGCACCAGGTCAAGTTACAAGTCAGATCTGTGGCAAACCTGCTCAAAGTAATAATTCACAGTTTTAAAGGTGTTTTTACCTTAACAATCTCTGTATTTATATGTAACTGAATAAATGTAAATTGGAGTTTAATGGAGTTTAATGTCATACTTTTACACATTCATGGCAAAGATGAAAGCTCTCCATGGAGACAAGCAAGCAGCAGACCCTCCTCCAGGAAAGTAACATAGTGCACATTTAATCTAAAATTGGTGTCAATCAGCATTAAATAATTAAATGGAAAAAGGTGACATAATATAAAAAATATGGTTAACATTAAAAAAAAAAAAATCTTGTGAAGGAATACTCAAAAAGTATGCTCGCTTCTGACCTCTGTAGATGTGTTTTGTTTACTTCTAGAATTTTTGTATTTTAGAGGTTGAATTAAAAATTAAACAGGAAAGGAAAGGAGCAGCCGTTAAACAAAGTGAGTTAGATTAAAAAAAAAAGACAATGTTTTATTCTGAAGCTTTTAAAGGAGGATAAACTGAAAACAATGACATGGAGAGGAGAGAGACAGGGAGAGAGAGAGGTGGAGGTAGATAGAGAGAATAGACAAGAAGGAGAAAGAGAGAGAGTGAGAGAGAGAGACTAAAGAGATTTAAAGAGAGAGAGAAACAGAGTCACGTGTAGCTAGAGAAAGAGAAGCATAAGAGGGAGAGGTAGATAGGGGGAGGTGAAGGGAGAAAGGGATAGTGACAGAGCTAAATCGCTCAAATAGCTTCTGACCCTTGACCACTTTTAATGAGCTTATACTAAATATTCCAATGAACTGAGTTAGTGCTTTAACAATGGACTGAGCATTTTGTGACATGCATACACATGCACTGGATAGCTGAGTAACCAAACTTGCGACTGCCAGCCAGATTTGAAAAACATAAGACTAAATCTGTATGCTACTTCAGTTAGGGTAAAAATCAGGACGTCCACAAAACACTTTCCATGGTTACAGTATGAGTTAATTAAAGGAACAATTTTATAACTTTACTTCCGATTGTTTTTTTGTTTTTTTTTCCTGGCATCTGGCAAATGGAAATGAGGCTTGTGAGGCTGATTCTGCTTTCTGATTGGATAATTGTCTTAAGAAGCAAAACAGCACATTATCACAAACAACAAGACCATCATGTCCAGTGTTTTTATAATTAAGAATAAATTAGCATTGCAATTGTTATCACTGAAATCAGTATTTGATTTGAACATGTTTTTTGATGTTTTGTTCTTGTCTGGGGGCACAGATGCCATAGGTCATGTTTAGGAAATTTTAAATCAAAAACTTACATACTGTCCCTTAAAATTAGCAATATTATTTTGTTTTCAACTGAAGAGTTGTGGCTATGTCTTTCTCCTTCTCCTTCTTTCACCTATGTCTATGTATGTTCTGCCCCGGTGACTCACATGAGAACAAATTTTGATCTTACATTTTCTTCGTCTTATGTGGTCATGGAGTATTATAATATAAAGTACCAAAATGGAGGTTTATCAACCTCCATTTTGGTACTTTATATTATATATATTATAATATATATTATTTTATAAAACAAAGCCATACAGCTGACACAATTTTATTAACCTGCCCCAACCTGTGCCTTAGACATGATTACTGTCTTTGACCTAAAACATGGATTACAGTAACCATTTATTTTAATATTCATCTCATGTGAATTAAATTGAGAGATTTTCTGCTTTGATTCGTATCTCATCCCTCATTAACCGGCTTAGCATAACAAAAGAGAGAAAGAGAGCACTGATGGAGAAAGATGGTTTAATATTCACAACAATATCACAACATTCGGTGTCAGTGTAAAATCTCCTATTCATATTAAAGACTATAGCAAAGGGTCCAGGTAAAAACACATGAAAACATTGACATTTACAAGTGTACAAATATGTTACAGCAACTCATGACAACATCTTTCAAAATACAACACAAATGCCATTATTCAAAAGGTAACACATTTTTCTCCCTTAGACTACACAGGGCTCATCAAAATGGCCACCATAAAATTTTTATGGCTTTTGGTTTTGGGGGCATTTAAAAATATATTTAATTGTCTTATGCCTCTTAGGGTCACATGTGGACTGAACTTACCCAGCAGCTAGCTGCTACACCAGTGGCCAGTCATGATAAATTTTACTTTATGTTGTTTATCTTTTTGTGATGTTAAGTTATATGTGGAGATTAAGTTGGTAATCTATATCTAAATCTATATATCTAAATAAAATTTCATATATTATTTAAGGACATGATTGCAATGTCTGAGCCATAAAAACATAACGCCCATAGCACAGGTATTATACAACACACCTCAATAGTAAATCTCAGAGTCCCATTGACAGAGAAGAAGGGGTATTGTCCAATTACAGTGAACCATCTTAGAACTACCTGTAATTGTTAACTTTCACGTTAAAAGCTTTTAGAGATTCACCACTGCCAGTCATTTGTCATTTTACATTCAGATGTCGCCCACTTTACGCGCACTCCTGTTGTTTTGAGTCAGTTTGATTAGACTCCATTCCCATTTGCAGCATTTTCTCGTCTTTTTCCCACGGGACTGGGTCTTGCTCATCTTCTACGTGCGTATTTCTGCGTCCTGTCCAAAAGTGCTCCACGTCTGGAAATGTTTTGTCTTTGGCGTTGGAGGACACTTCATTAGCACACGCCTCTGCACCATTTCCATCTGGTTTTACGCACAACTTGCACACAGTTGCTGGCGGATGTTTGCGCGGTCTGCAGGTCACAATGTACCAAAGGGATACGAGTCCCTGGCGCACATCGTCGTACATTGTCATGAGAAGCACGGGGAAGACCGAACTGCACGTGTAAAACAAAACATTGGCGAAGATTAACAACCCCACGGGCGGTCGGTTAAAGCCGAGTCGTATCCAGGTGAAAGTCCCCCACTCCGGTAAAAGCATGAGCCCCAACGCGCCACTCAGACACAACAAAACGAGTGTAACTTTACTCTGGTGTCGTGGATTTGGCGCGTTATTGACCGCACCGTGGAGCGTCTTGGTGTAGTACGCGAGCGTAAAGATGATTGGCACCACAAACACCGCAGTTGGGTAGATCTTATAGAAGAGACTCATGAACTCAGATGCGCACACGGGCATCTCTGAGACGCAAATTACCTCGTCCAAACTGTATGGCACCTGAGTAGCAAACAGCAGCTGCGGTAGAGAAAATAACATAGCGACGAGCCAAACGAACACAAGAGCTCCGTGGATCCAGGTAGCATTTTGGAAGCCATCCTCATCTTCTGCCATGAAAGTGTGCTTAGATCTGGTTGTCGCGGCTAAAATTAGAGTTTTGGCCACTATACATGAGTGCTGAAACCAGTCCGTGGTCCTGCAAACAAAGCTCCCCAAAGTCCATATCTGTTTGTAGTATGTGACAGCGCGCACCGGAGCGCACAGTAACAAGATGAGCAAGTCTGTGGATGCAAGGGAAGCGAGGAGCGCCTTTACTTCTGAGCCTCTTCCTTTTCTGAAATCACGGATGAAAACCAGCAGCACGAGGAGGTTACACAGCGCTCCGGACACGCACACTCCGATCAGGATCACGGGGATGGCTGTCCTGATGTTACTGTTTCGGAGCAACTGTAGCCCCCCCACGAAATCAAAAAGTGTTACGTTAGAGGGGCGCTCGATGTCCATCTTCGGTTAAAAAGTTCAGTCTACTTTCCACCTTTTGCGGGTTAATGTGTGCAAGACAACGGGAGCTGTCCTGGTACTGAAATGCACTTGTGCGCAGCGGATGTGGCTGGGGAGAGCGCACGCAAATGGGAGCGTAGACTGGCAGGTGGGCTATTTCAAGTGCTGCCATTTAGCGTCGTCAGGCACTCGCGACTCACGTCATTTTAGTGGTATGGCTCCAGGCAGCAGCCCAAATGTGAAGCCAACGTCACAAACAGGAAATCACCATCACTTCTTAAAGTATGTAAATTATCTTACTTACCCTTTAGTTTAATTCACGTTAACATTTTTTGTGATTACACTTTATATTAGCTGTAGTCTATTTACAATACAATAGTGTTTCACAAGAACATAGGGGATATATTTAAATTTCTCTTCACTATTTGAATTTAACTTGTAATTTTGAAGATATTAAGAATCTGGTCAACTGATGATAGGTAACACTTTATTTTATTTTAGGTGGCACGTCACCAACAGTTCCATGGAAATAGAAAGTTAAAAACATAATTCATATTTTTTTCTATTGAGATAGATGTTTTATGCCAATATATGAAATATATAGTCTAAGGAACAACACAGAAACAAGCAGAAGGAAGCCCTTTTTCAGACCAAATCATTTGTGGGGATGCAAGCGTCACAATAAGGATGCATTATTTGTTATTTCACACAATTTTGTCTACTTTTTAGGCAATGAAATTATATACTGCGACTTTAATAAAACTAAAATCAGAGCAGATCAGACAGAATGTTGAGAATGCTGAGTCAAACTCTGTAAGAAATGGTAAAAGACTGTTTTCCTGTATTTGGTGGACAGTTTCTCTCTTCCTCTTAAAATAACGATGCTATATTGCCTACTTATATTTTCATTAAATGCCAGACAGTGGTGAGCTTTGAGCTGTGTTCAAACACTTCCCCATGTGATGCAAATATAATTTAAATGGCAGTTCCATTTGCACTTATTACCGAGACCTTTCTGTGTCTTGTTTAAAGACTTTTAAGTGCGTGGTAGCAGGTTCTTGCTGGGGGAGAGGTTGGAGGAGGGTGGAGAGGTGGTGGAGAGGTGCCCACTCAAATGCTGTCACCTTCCTGCAGCCTGGGTTGCTAAGAGACGACAGTATGGGGTTATGAAGATGTGAGCCATCCCGAATCGCAAATACACGGACTCAGAGCCCTTTTTTAAAACTCTTCTACTGAATAAATGTCTACAGTGGCATGTGATTGCAGCCAGGAAAAGACTCCGGTGGTATTTAGAGGGAAGATATAATGGTGCACACAGGGGGAGCTGGCCTCGCTGCATGCAGTAATCAGGGGTAATTGCCATGTTCTGGTCTATGAGAGGAGGAGAGAGAGTTAGGCTTGATTCGCCTCCCCCTGAAATGAGCACTGTCGCCATAGATGTAGGACTTTAATGGGAATCTCTGGATACATTCATCAGTGTATATTCTTCACTTTCATTTGTTAATGGTCCTATATTACGCAATGGACTCTTGTGAGCTTTCAGAATGCTGTTATCTCCTCGAAAACATACGCAAAGTTGTGTGTTGTTTCATTCACACGTTTGAGTAATCCTGGTTTATGTGTCTGTCTACATTTCCAAAGCTCAAAATGCTCTGTTCCCCTTGGTAATGTCACAAAGTGGGAGTTTTCAAGTTAACAGCTTCTTTTGTATCTTTAGTTCAGTAGAAGTTAACTGGAGGCACTGCTTGGTCTGAAACTCCATTACTTTAATGAGAGTTTAGTTAGAACATAATCTGAGCATAAAGAACTAATTTAGTTGGAACTACAACACAAGAGATGATTTGTCTTGTTAAGCTTTTTTTTTTTTTAATCAGTACATGAAAAAAGAGGTACAAAGGGGCAGAGTGGGGAGTCTCTATAAAAGAAAAGGTTGTGGTCTGATCTCTGTGGGTAGATGCACATCCTCCCAATTGTCACAGTAGATTATCTATGGTCTCCTCCCATCATCCACAGACTCATATGAATCATTTGTAATCGTTCTTCGTGAATGGTTGTCTGTATATGTCAGCTCTTTAATTAACTGTAAACATTTGTCTACAGTAGGGTTGTCAAACGTATTGAAAAATTAGATACTAATGGATACTAAAAATAATATATAAACTAGATAGTCATTTTAGCAGATATCGATACTAAAAAAGTCACATTTACAGGATAGAAATGACCTTTTCTAAATATCTTTAGAATGATTTCGTATGATACACCAGACTAGTATACGCCAATGGACCACTATGAAACCTACGTACTGTGGGTGACTGAGGAATTACACAGAAACAAGACCACACATATAAAAGAAAATACTACAATTTAATTCTATTATGTTGTCTACATAAAGAGTGTTTTTATTATCATTGTGGTATTAGCATTGGTACTGAGTATTGAGTCTATTCCTTAGTACAGAAATCTAGTTTAAAATATTAGTATTGTGACAACACCAGTCTACTAAACTTGTTCTTTTATCTTTAGTTAATACAGAGAGAAAATGAAAAGGCATGTGGAGCAAACATTAAACTAATCATTGGATCTGATATTCCTAGGGCAGTGTGACCTTTCAGTAATTAGTAAAAGCTTTTGACGTCACCATCTTGCTTCTGAGTGCCTCTCTTTTTCATGATTCTAATGTTGTCTGCATCACTAAAACTAGGTCTAATGTACTGTCTGAGCTCATCAATAAACAGCTAACAGCATGAGATCTGTCAATAATATGCATGTGTTGGGGAACAGTAGAGCGTAAACAAACACAGCTACTATAGCATGTATCAGTGGCTACATCATTTCCACTGTTAGTGAGTTAAGGCCACCACGCACTACAGGATTTTTGGGTCTTAAACGATTTTTAAAATGTGCAACAAAAAGCACACACTACAGATATGAGGAGAATCTTATGAGATTTTAAATCTTTGATCTCAAAGACTGCTGTGGGATACAGCTACATACCTCACGCACACACGTGCCCACACTCAATGTCACTTCAGACCAGCTCTTAGAGATTGTCCTCCCTGAGGTACAGTAGTCTACTCTGAAGTCCTGTGTGACCCACAGCCTGTGGAGCGCACTCATTCTGCTCCTGTCAAGAAGGAGATCCCAGGACTTGAAGAAATCCCAGGACTTGAGGAGATCCCAGGACTTGAGGAGATCCCAGGACTTGAGGCTCTACCTGGAACTAAGACCCTCCCAGGACTTGAAACCCTCCCAGGATTCAAGACTCAAGCAAATCCCTGGACTCGAGCAAATCATTAGACTCGAGGCCCCCCCAGGACTCGTGACTCTTCCAGGACTCAACACCATCCTAGGACTTGAGACCCTCCCAGGACTCGAGCTGATGCCTAGACTCGAGACCCTTCGAGAACTCAAGCAGATCCGTGAACTCGAGTTCCTAAACATGCTTAATTTAATTTAATAATAACAGAAGATGGCTTCATGAATACATGTACAAAGGTTTTATCACTATAAAGTTCATGAAGTGGTTCTGCAGTTCCCCAATATAAAGCGTGGACTACTTTTGTAACCATGAATAATCATAGTATATAAATGTACCTTTTTATTTTAAGCAGTTAGGCCTCAACAAACAAGCCTGTTAATAAGTATACTTTTGTAAGAACATGTATGGAATGTAGGCGAGGGATGAATTTAAAATGCATCTAGAGTATCAGAAATCGCAAAAGTAGTAAACAAGAATGGACATGCCAGTGACTGGTGTCAAAAATTAAAACTCAGTGACCTCTAATGTTGAGTGAAGACCCCAAGAAAAAATATTGAAAGACACTCAGTAGCTCCACCTCAAAAATCTATTTAAATGGGGCCAATGGGAGACAGTTGCTGAAAAAGGGCAATCAGGAGGTAAAGTGGAGTTCTATAATCAGAAATTGTTTTACAGTTAGTGTGACGGAGGAGTGAATTAATTGTATAACCAAACACATTGTAAAGATACGTGTGCATATGGTTCTGACAGGCTGCCCCAGTGGCATTGAAGGATGGGTGAAATGTAGGGGACAAATGATCCTATATGGACAATAAAGTATCTTAACATAATATAAATGGTTTCAGGAAGTGAAAAATCATAATAATAATCAAAATCAGCCCAACCTATTAGCCAAAAAATATTGGCAAAGGGTGTCTCTGGAGTAAAAACAATCTATATCAGAACTGGCCATGAAAAAATGTAATAGAATACAATAGGATACATACAACTTCATTTGAAAGTAAAGATCTGTTTTTACCTCCTCCGACCACTCATTTAGCACTATAACACATTAAACTGGTGAATATATACTGTAACACTGAACTTGGGGTGTGAATTTTGGGTTAAAATAGCAGTAGTCTCATGTTGGACCACATTCACTTCACAGCAGGGGCCTTCTAAACATGAATGCTTCTTTTTAGCCATCGCCTACATACCTCGCAGTGTGTGACCGGTGTCCACTGTGTAATTTTTAGTTTATTTTAATCCCAAACAAAGATATAAGAGCAAAGCCTTCAACTCTTCCTCTGTCCAGCATAGAGGCAGCACATTAACACAAACTCAAAAGCTTGTCCAGTCTTTTGAAATACCAAAAATTACCAAATGACATCATAAGGTAGAACAGGGTGTTTTCTGTTTGAGAGAGGAGCTCAACCTAAATATACAGGGTTTGTATGTTGTGTGTGAATGAATGAATGTGAATGAAACAAAACAGAAGCCCAGGTATGTTTCTGATAAAGAAAAACATTATAACATAGAAAACTGTGTAATAATTTAACCGGATTGAAGCTAACTGCAGGCACTGCTCAGTCTGAAGCTCTGTTACCCATGTCAGACTTTGCTGAGTTTTGTTGTGCAATTTTGAGCTTATTTTAAACCCAAACTAACAAAGATATAAGAGCAAAGCCTTTAACTCTTCCTCTGGCCAGCCTAGAGGCAGCACGTTAACAAAAACTCAAAAGCTTGTCCAGGCTTTTGAAATACAGAAAATAAAAGGTCCAGACAGGGTGCTTTTTGACGTCAAAGCTAAAAAGCACACCATGCCATCACAGATTTCTGTCCCAAAAGCTGTGATGCATAAAAGCTTTCTACAGTCTGAAAGCTGACAAAGCCTGTTTTTGTGTTTGACATCGTTCAACAAGAGCAGAGGTCTTCTCAGGTGACCAAAAGCTTTATTTGGAGTTAGGCATGTCATGTAATTACTTCGATTTATCAATAAATGAAAGATGCAACCATTATTTCTGGGGTCAATATTTATCATGGGTAGTTTTTTTTTTGTGGGAGTTTTTGTTCTTTTTCTGTACTCCCATAGCTGATTTCAGCTGAAGAGGGTTGAATAAATAACTTCTATGACTCATTCTAGATGTATCCTAACTACAACTATTACTAACTACTACTACTAGTATTTCAGCTAATATTTTTTATATTATATTGTACATTTAGAATAATTTTTATTGAGATAATCCATCATCTTTTTATTTTTATTATTTTTTTTATTTTTAAATTATACAAAAAACCCTCTCTCCACATTCATCAGACACAAAACTACACAACAGAGCTTGCCTTTTACTAATAGTGTCAGTGGGATTAATTCATTTTAGTATTATCTTTTATCGTCTATATTTTCCTCAGCTATATATCGTGCATCAAAATGTGTTAACACGACTGGCCTACTTGGAGTGGAGTTGAATGAGGCCAGACTAAGTCACAGCTGTGAGCGGTGATGGATGCAAGGGTCAGTTGGGTACAGCATAGTTTAGTCTTAGCTACTGGATTGAGAGGATGGAGCACTAGTCTACAATTATGTCTACAATTCACAAGATGCATATTCTGCGAGACTTGCTAGTACATTTGGCCCAAATATAATAATTCCTCTGCAAATGTTGTATAGTTTCAATAAGGCTATATGTATATTGTTCTGGTATTCAGCACAATCAACTGGTATATATTCTACTGTATATTGTACTGTAAAATGTATTGCGTATTGTGATGTAAATGCAGGCTGGGGGACTGCTTGTATCAATGCCTCTAGTCTACAGCACTGTAGACCACAAAAGCAATGTGAAAGGTATATATTATTGTAATTTACAGTATTTTTATGACTCTTGATCATGTTGGGCAGAGGCACTAGATCACCCAAAAAGTATATGACAAGGAAGTCTACAGTCTTTCCTTTCTAGGGGCTAACAAGTCTTAGCCAGGCTGGTGCCACCTAGTGCCTTCGCTCAATTTAATTTCTCTCCAGCGACTAGGTCAGGAATTGGAATACACTAGATGGTCTGCAAGAACCCTGGAAGTTGTAGACTGCGCGCCAGCCAATCAGCGAAGAGCTGTAAAGCCATGACTGGGTCCCTTTTGCGGTACAGCACAACAGTAAACAAAGCAGTTGAGATGGATGTAGACGGAACTATACATTCTGTGTTGGCAACGATTCCCGAGATTGAGGATTTAAAGCAAAGAGAACAATGTTTGGTGAATTTTATCAAGGAAAAGACATTATTGCTCTTCTTCCTACGGGATTTGGGAAAAGCTTAAAATACCAGTTAGCCCCATTAGTGGTGCATTACATACGTCACCAAATAGCAGCAATTGGTAACATAATAAAAGTACCAGCCTACCATCGAGCGAACGAAGCTGCGAGGTCAGACAGTTTCCATGAAGTGAAACTGGCTGATGAATCAGGCTACCCAACTCTGCCACTAGGTACACATTTTTATATATACTGATTTAAAAAATGTATGGACAAACAGAACTAAAATAATTACAGCCATTTACCAGCAATAATCAAATCATTTTTCAAGGGCTAATTTTTTTATTTAATTACACTATTGTTAAGTCAGAATCAACAGAATTAGGTGTCATTGTTTATACTACTGTGTTTTTGGCACGTAAATACTTATATAATCTTGAAATGTCTCATCCTATAATACGTCTAGACAAGCCAAGCGCATTTTCAAATCAACTTGGTCCCATACGATCCCCCGTTTCCACGACAACCTGTGGATAGGGGCTCTTGACTTAAAATGGGTACTCTAAACGTGTGTGTTCCATGCATACATCACCAGTGGAGCTGCAGGAAGGATCATTATCCTCATCAGCACAGTTATGTTCATTTAAATCAGGCCACACGCAAAGGGATAAATGACTCCTCTCGGTGAAAGGGCAGACTCCCAGCCTGCAAAAAAGCAAATAATTAATGTTTTATATAGTGCAAGTGGGAGGGGCGATTCACTAGACATGTAGGCCTGTAGTAGTAATACGAAACTTACATTACAGACTGTTATTTAATGGGGATTGTATTTGAAGGTTACTCACTAAAAGTCCAAGCTGACAACTCTGCTCTTGTGTTGACTCATAGTAAATGCTTTAAAAACAGTGAAACAAATATAAAGCTGTTGTTAATGTTGCCTCTGTACACTATAATGTAATTGCAAAGCAAAAAGTATTTTATTCTATTCTTATCAGAAAATTATACAAAATACATTTTAATACATGTATTCAGTATTCTGTAACTAAACACATTTTCAAAGTATTCTCACCATCACTGGTTACTGATTGTGTTTCTCAATGAAGTGGGAGTAGGTCAGTTTCATGGGACGATGTGACATTTACCCCACTTCCTGAATGCATTAAAGGCAAAGTTGGGGTTTTGAAGTGGGTTGTTTGTAATTTCTAAGAGAAGTCAATCTTGTGTTCAAAAAATAATAAAAGCTTAGCCAGTGCAGCCTTGTTCATCAATGTCTTACAGTTTGTGTATTTTTGAGTTTATGTGTTATGTTAAGAGTGGAGAAGAAAAGTAATTAAGCAGAGAGGAAGAGACAGAGAAGTCTAATTTTGTCATGTCATGAGCTGTAGGACTGACACCAAAACAACTAGTGTAAATTGTTTTCCAAATATTAAAGGGCCCATATTACTCTATTTTCTGATCTATGTTATAATGTTTTTTCACTATCAAAATACCTGGCATTCACACAAACCCTTCATATTTAGGGTGAGATCTTCTCTCAGACAGGAAACATGCTGTTCCACCTTGTGACGTTGTGTGGTAATACAGGAAGTGCTTCATTGTGTTTTTAAACTCTATACACCTTAATTAGTTTCATTTGGATAATTTCAGTCCAAGAATTGCCAATCTCTACTAAACAAAAGGTGAAATGTAGCTTTTAACTTAAAAAACTATTGCATCATTACATCACAAGGGAAAACAGAGCATTTTGAGTTTTAGAGATGTAGACAAACTAATAATAAAGGATTGAATGAAACAAAACACATATCCAGGTATGTTTTTAATGAAGTAACAACTTTCTAACATGGCAGTCAATTTTCTGTAATATAGGGCTTTTAATTATTTTAAGGTTCACATGTCTAGGAATTTGTAAATACACACAAAGTCATAGCACAACAATGACAATAGAAATTCGTCATAAAAAGTTCCTTCTGTATTAAAGGTATAACTCTTACCTCATCTCATCACCATAGATTCACTGTTTGTGAATCAAACGTTCATCTGAAGCTGTGGCAGAATGGGAGCAAATTTCTGTGTCGACTACAGCATCTACTAAAGAAACAAAACAAAACAGAGGAGCAGAAGATGGAGATGCAAAATCAGGCCCGAGTGTACAGTGGTACAAAAGGGAGCTACCTTAAAGGATTAAAGGCACCCCAATTTTTGGCAGATCACAATGACAGTTAATGGAAGAATATTGTCTCTGCACCCCTTGAAACTTGAACGGTATGCACCCTCAGTCACTTTAGTCAGAACCCCCTGCTGTGCAAAAAGTCAACAAACATTTTACATTCAAATATATTGGAAAAAATTATGACAACAAAATTCTGTTGTGTTATCCAACCAATTTTCCCAAACTGGTTTGGTCTTAAATAACTATATTCATGGATCATTTTATTCACACCTAGACCTACTTATTTTCTGTCAGGCAGCTGATAGAAAAACAAATGTACTCACCTATTGACAATGGTTTTGGATTGTCACTTCTGGTGGAAAATTAGCTGTTAGAATTCACTCATGACCGGGTTTAAAACCACAGGTTTGACTTAAGAGTTTTACTGAACAAAAAAACTGAAAGAACACCGCCATCTTGTGACAAAGTAAGGAAGTGCAGCAAGTGTAAGAGTTAAAGGTTGTATAGAGGATTTTCCAAGGAACGAGAAATCCAGCGACTGTTTGTCCTTTTTCAAATGTTGCGCATGCGTGAAACCACCCCCCCTCCCCTACAGCTCCCTACATAGAAACGCCTTCTCCCGCCTCCTCTTTACGCCAGAAACAGGTTTGTTTACAGCCGGTGAGCTGCACATGACTTGTAAACAACTAACTACAGTGTTGGTTAGGCAAGACGGAGAAGTGAGGAGCGGGGGGAGCGGGTGTGCGGACATTTCGTTCGCGGACGAGAAGTGAGGAGCAGGGAGAAGAGCGGAGCAGGGAGAGAGGAGAGAGGAGAGGGGAGCGGTGCGCGGAGATTCCGTGCCCGTAGAAGTGAGGAGAAGGGGGAAGAGCGGAACGGCAGCGGGGACAGGAGTAGGAAAGGGGAGCAGAGAAGGTTGCGCGGAGATTCAGTGCGAATGAACTAGCTACAACACGCAGCAGCAAGCGGACTCTTTCTTTGCCTTGAAAATTACGTTTTCAGACATAGGATATCGCTTTCGTGTCCTGAAAAACGTTTGACTAGCTCTTGGAAATAAAGTACGTTTTCATAATAAGCAGAAGTGACCTGTCCAGGAGTAATTTGGCGACCAATGCGTCAGTCTTTAGACCCTGCGTCTGCTTCAGTCGCGCCATCGCTGGAATGAATCTACAAGAATCACCTTAGTTTGGCTTCGCTGCTTTTCCCCTTGTCTTCTTCTTTCAGCGACCTCAAAAACGGACTTTCTTTTGCGGCTAACTGCTCCTGGATTCTTGTCTGCCATTGCAACAAACTTTGTGCTAACTGCGAGGAAGATATAGGTTAAAAAAAAGCCGCTAAGAACTGTTGCGTTGGTGGAGTAAACAGCGTCTGTGCGTCTTGCGTCTGTGGACTGCGTGACAGGCGTACGTAAACCACGTACCGGCGGCGCGCAGGCAGGTCAGTTACGCTAGAAACGTAGGGAGATTGATTGACAGCCTGTCAGCTAACAGATAACGAGGCAATGTCGTTATCTATTGGCAAATGTTTAGCTGGCCCCACCACGTCCAGAGTTGATGAATTTTTATTCTCTTTTTTTTGGTCATCATAATTACAAGGCTACTGCACCTCTATAATGCTATCATTGACAACTTGAAACAAAAAAACAAAACAAAAATCCTCCATACAACCTTTAACTGAAAGTTTTTACACAGGCACTTTAAACACTGCCCTTAAAGTTTTATTTAGATATCACCTTATTATGTTTATTTTATTTTTATTTATTTGTTTGCCTGACAAGTCCAAGCATATCTCTCTGAATACACACTCTTTGAAGGCAAATCAACGATCGTACTTATAATATACTGTAACCGCACCGATTTTACAGCCTTCACTCACATGATAAGTGTCATGGTCAGTGCAAAGAAAGTTTTCACCAAAACAGCCTCTGTATGTCTCTATATATGTGTAGGTATGTACCGTTTAATGCTGTTATCTCTGCCTATAGCCGCCGTGCTGTCCATGTGCGCGGATTAAAAGAGATTAGAGACAGATGTAAACCAGAAGTCGAGATCCGATCTGCCGTCCACCGTAGAGGGCAGCAAAGGTGACGCTTTCAGGTCAAGATTAGCATGTCCTGCCTTTTCAGAACATCACCGCGTTCTCATTGGTTCTTTTCTTGACAGACGCTGCTGCTATCCAATCAGAAGTCCGAACTGGACTGAGCTATGGCTGTGAGCTAAACCGCTGCGCAGATGTGTGTGTGACAAGAAGACAGCTCTTAAAGGGAGCAGGAATAGCTCGGGATCCGCACGAACTGCTAAAGCTCTAAACACGAAAGGTGAGTTACAGGTTGCATTATTTATTAGCAAAATTAGTAGTTTTAATTGGTCTGTTTTTGTCATTTAATATTATAAACGTGTAATGACGTGATAGCAGAGGAAGCGGCAGCGTATCGTAGTTACTGAAAGTTGCTAACTGAAATACAATATAGTTTTTTGATTTTCTGATTTATTGCATGCATGATTAAGTGTTTGTTAATACCGCAGTTATGGCAATCGTGTATGACAGTTATTTTAGGCACATCTCATTATAGATTCATATGCGTTTATTTCCTCGTTCCACTTTCTCCCATTGCCACAAATTGTTTAAGATTTCAAGTTTGTGGTTGAACTTAGAAGTAAAACCAGCTAACCATTGTAGCTGTATAACTATCTTGAAATATTAATGAAGAATTAGCAAGTTGATCAGTATAAAAGAGGTTGACATTTTAGAGGTCACCCATTTGGGTTGGCTGTGTCAAGGTGGTTTTTGAACGTAACACGCCCCCTTTGAGTACCTTTTACTTGAATACTATAGTTTGCACTCTGCACTAGGTCTGTCACTATATCTACCTGCGTAATAATGCAATGGTTGCTAACGTGAGACTTTGATCCTTTGGCTACCGTCACTTACTTCTGTGCGTCTTGTCTCTCCCACGTTTACGCACACTGAAGTTTCACTGACGTCTTGAGAAATCGTTCTCCATGACTGCAAAACACAACAGATTACTCCTCCAGTGTTTCTGTATCAACATTAGAAAGGTTTAAGTTGTATTCACTACAGATAATGATGTTCTTTTTTTCTTTTTCTTTTTTTTCCAATGAAAAATACAAAACTGAGTAGTTGAGCGATCATGCTTGTTTTGGTTGATAATAATACGATGCAGAATGGCGGCAAGATTAATCAATGACTAGTTTATTCCTCAACCTTGAAATGTCGCTTCCTGTTTCAAAGACCCGGGCTGCAGCTGCACAGTCTATGATGACACACGTTGTAACGTCTCTAAAGTAGTTCTTTCTAAATCGAAACTAAATGTGAATACTGGACTTTTCTGCAACAGCCAGTTTCACTTTCACTTTCTGATAGAGATTTATACATCCCAGGCGGATACAGTCTAACGTTATTTCTTGGTGCTTTCATTTTTACATTCGCTTCTCTTCTGTCTCTAATTCTAACTACATAATAGACAAAGCACCTGCTTGATATTATGTGAAATTTGAAATTACATGGTTGGTTCAGATATTCAGCATTGGTAATAGCATGGTTCATCATAGACAGCTGCGTTTGCAATCATTTTTACTCTGTGTATTTTAAGTGTGTTATAATAAATTCTAAATATTTAAACATGTTTAATTATGGTTATCTGTTTGTTTCACCTAGAAAAGGATTTTTGTTTTTGTGGTTGCATATCCTGTTTAGTAATGCATTTTGGCAAAGGAGCTTAGACGCACTCCAACATTTTGTAAGTCTTTTTACATTTCACAATATCACACAGTTATTTTTACAGCTTTATAAGGAAGTTGAATCAGTTGTTATTAGTTTGAAAGTGATTGCTCTACAAGGACAGGAACTTATGTGCACTGAGAAAAAAAAAGGAATTTCTTCAACAGGAGTGCCTTTGTCTCACCTGTTGAAGGACAAAAGGACAAATACAGACGTTTTGAACAATCATCTATGTGCTTTCTGAACAAATCACTGTAGTCAACAAAATGAACCATTCATTTAATTATTATTTTTTAATATAATAATATTTTTGTTTTTTTCTCCAGATGTCGTACGCCAACGACAAGCTCTACTCTGGCTACTTGCGAAAAAACATGCCAAGGATTGTGACCACTGTCAAACCAAGAGAAATTGTTGTCCATCTTCCATGTCTAACTGACCATGACAGAGTGAGTTCAAAACTTTCTGCAACTGATTAATAAATAATTGAACATATATGGATTTAATGGCTATTCAGTGTTTTGTATCCAACTTTTGCAAATATTTTACTATGTTATAACAGCTTAAAAGTGCACTGTGTAACTAAAATAACACTATAGAATACCACACTGTGAAACATTACAGACAAACCAATAATATTATAATAAATAGTAATATCTCCATGAAAGCAAGAGGTGGTAAACCTTCCACCAGAGAAGTTACAAAACTCACCTTTAATGAGCCTTGTTTTTGTGTTTTATAACTATAGTCTCACAATTTATACAGTCTATATCCTATATAACTTTAATGTGTGAGACATGCTTTATGTTAAAGGTGAATTGTGTAACTTTACTGGTGGGGGGTATGTCAAAAATCTTTCTCTATAAAGTTTTTGCTTTGTCTGAAATGTTTCACAGTATAGTGTTAAACCTTTCTATCTTCATGGAGACCAAACCAGACCAAGTTACAGGCCAGATCTGTGGAGAGGCAACCCTGCTGACAGTCAGAATGCCTGTTTTTCTAGTTTTTTTGAGCTATAAAACCACTTTTAAGAAAAAAATTACTTAAATGTAAAGTAGTAAAGCGAAGTACTGTGGAACATTCCAGGCAGAGCAATGATATATTCATAGAAACAAGCAGGTGACAGACCTCCATTCAGTAAATTACATATTGCACCTTTAATGCATAGTAAATTTAATTTAATTAATCATGTGGTACAGATTTATCTTACAAAAAAAAGATAATTTCGTACAGTAGTCTGGAAGAATGATGTAATGAAAATGTATGTTCTAATTACAGGAGACTATTGAGGCCAAAAGGGAGACCTGTGGTAGCTTCGATGCTATGGTACGCTTGTTGGACTGTTTGAAGAGGAGGGAGAACTGGCCTGAGCAGTTCATTGCTGCTTTGGAGGCATGTGAGCATCAGGCAATAGCAGCCGAGATCAGGGCTGAATACGACGCACTGAGAGGAATTAACAGTAAGCCACTAAGTCCATTAACCACCACTCCATATTACCAAGTGAGGATTGATAGGGAGACATGGGTGTTGAAATGTCATAGTCATGATAATGTATCTTTCAAGCAAACAACAGTTTTTGGTTTCTGAAAGATTTTTCAATTATAACATAATATAAACTGGGAAATAATTTTTATCTTAGTGCAATACAAAACTCTAGTTACAAAAATTATGCATATATAGGCCTGTCACGATAATACTGAATGTCTATAAAGCAGGATTTTCCCCCAAAAAATATTCTATTTGTACATTATTATTAATGAACATGAGCTACAATAAGTAACTTGACCACCTAATGAGTCATAGAAATTTATTCCACACTCTATAGGTAAAATTTGATCATAATACAAAAAAATAACAAAAAGTTACCAACTTGTACACACAAAAGGTGTGATGAATACTGACCCAAAAAATTATTGTTCCATCTTTCATATATCAAACAGTAAGTCTAAACAGTAATTATCGTGACATGCCTATACATATATTAAATACATTAGGTACAGGTTGAATGATTCACTTGACAAAATTACTACCATCTGTGTTTTGTGTGAAATGGTATGTAGCGATAAAGCTGAAATAACCTTGTATTAGTGGATAGCCCGGCCATACAAGTTAATCCCCATGTATATTTTCATTATGTAATAGTAATACCCATACATGACCGTGTTTTGACCTATTGATCGTTATAGAGTAAATTGCTTCCGAATAGATTTGCATACATTAACAGATAACCACCATGTTTAATGTGTCCTAGATTCCAGCCCTCCTCCTGCACCTCCAGCCGCTAATGTAGTCATGGCACATGTCCACCCTGCGCCATCTGCCCCACACCTGCCTCCCCCCGGGCCCACAGCCAGTGTTCCACCCCCTCAGGATGTCCTATCTGAGGCGAGTGAGACTCAGCCCATCCAGGAGACTGAAAAACCAGCGCCTCAGAGCAGTCCGGCATTGGTAGTAGCTCCTGTGATGGAGGTAAGATAAGAAATTGTATGTTTGGTTGTATTGAAATTAGGGCTGTAGAAAGTGACAAAAATCTGAAACTAATTGATACTAAAATTAATATTGAATCTAGATTCTTATTTGAGGAAATATTGATACTAAAACTAACCCAGGACAAAATTTGACCTTTTTTGGTTAGAATTATCTTGAATTTGTCAAAATTAGTATAAGGCCACATGGTAACATAAAGAACTCCTTGAAAATTTGAAAATTACTGTCTATTTAAAAATATATATATCATTGTGGTATCAAAATCAGTATTCAGCCTATTCCCTAATATCAAAACTGAATTTGAAATTTTAGTATTGTGACAACACACATTGAATTACAGTGCAATAATGTGGTGAACCAAGATGTAATTTTGTTATATACTTGCAATAATCGTGTAGCCGTTGTTCTTAATAGAGTAGTTAAAGTAGCAGAACAAACAAATGCTGTGTTGATATTCCCTGTAAGTGGTGTCCATTTGATAAAACAGGACTTAGCCACTCTTGGCATGGAGCAGAGTAAACCAATCAGACAAGCAGCACACATGATCCTAGCAACATAACACAACAATGCTTCTTAAATTAACCTTGCCTCTTTGATAAATTAACTTCACCTTTATTGGTCCTTTTAATAGAATTGAGTGCACAGTCAAGGTTGCCCTGTGCACTATTTTGATTGTATTGAATGAGAGACCTCAGCTAGTGAGTGTTGAACAAATCATGAATCAGTCTGATAAGCTGATAGGATTGATCAGTGTGGAAAATACTGACTGAATTTGCTGGACACATTCAAAACTCTGAATAAAGAGAACACATGTCTGTTTTAAAGCTCCACCATGTAACTTTTTAGCTAAGTAAAAGCATATATTTTCATTATGGATGTTTTTATTGCAATACAACTCCTTGACAAACATATATCCTTAGTGATTGGGCTTGCATCTCCACAAACCTGATTGAAATGTAGACTGGAGGAGGGCCAACAGCATGTTGCCATGGAAATTGTTGCTTTGGATAAAATGTTCCACCGTATGGCCTTAATCATATGAAAAATCCTTCAGATTTTGGTTTAAACTTTTTCTTTGTCGTTTTTTTTCAGTGTCACAATCAAAAAGTTGCACAGTGTTGCTTTAAATAAAAAGTACCTTAAATTAATTTAACTTGTCTTATTTTTCTTTATAGGTGATTCCACCAGAACCCCCACAGCACCAGATCGAGGCAGTTGTGGTCCCTCCTGTGACCCCTCCTCCCTCTCCTGATTCAATGCGAGGTTCAGCCAGAGGTTCTCCTAGTTCAGAGCAATTCATCTCCCATCAAGAACCAGTGGAAGACCTAGAACCAGAGTCCCTGCCAGCTCAAGCCGTCCCAAATGAAACAATTAATAATCAACAAGAGGCTGAAGAAAATATTGAGCTACCACAAGCTCCTGAAATTCAGGTAGAGCCATGTGAGGTTGACGATCTTACACAGACAGCTACTATGGTGGAGCAGGATATTTCAGTCCCAATTATTGTGAATGAGAATGCAGCAATCATTAATAGTGTGAATGAGCCAATTGTAACTGAGCCAGAACCAGTCACTGCTGTTGTGGAAGACACTACAACTACAAATACTGTAGAAGAAGCTGCATTAACTACAACCACCATAGACACTCCTATAGTGCTCCCTGCTGCCGTGGAGGCATCACCAGGCCGAAGTGAATCTCCATTGACAAACCTAGACGATCTGATCCTAACACCAGAGAAACCACCAGTCCAAGAGACCAAACCCACAGTGGAAAAAGTCCCCTCTGTGGTCCCAGTCATGGAGAAGACCTCTGAACCTCAGAACACACAGGTAAAATGAACTAGATTTTTTATGCAGATGCTTTCCTTGTTTACATTTTTGCTTTACATTAGTGTTAGATTTTGTTGTTTAGTTTTTTTAGCACAATTCAAAATAATACAAATAAGTTTTGTAGCACTTTCAGTTTCGCTATGCATGATATTGTACATACCTCATTAAATACAAAGTCATAGATATAGCCCGAACTACAATGTAATCACATGCCATTATGGGCTGTTACAGTATAGTATTTATCATACTCATTATTTGTGTAGACCTTCAGATCTTAACATTTAATGTCTTGCTTGAACAAACATGTACCATAAACACAGATAAATTTTGTATCTTCAAATATTAAATTCATGTGTTTTATTCCATACTTTGGAACATTCCAGGCAAAGTCACATTATGCACATTATAGTCCCTTTCTAGGTAACCATGTGACTTTCATAAATCTCCACTTGATGGCGCACAGAGCACCACTACAATTAGTGGTTGTAATTTAACAATGTAATAGTTTCATATAGGTGTGTTTAACAAAAGGTCACATAATTAGACACACGATTTCCCTATCTATGATTAACAAATCTATATTTTTTACATTTACTTTCAGGTTTTTAAAATTCCTCAAGAGATAGAAGTTACTCCCGGGCCCCCTGCTGAGGCAGTGGTGACCAGTGGTGTTGCTGTTTCAGAAGATGATGATATTTGTTTCAGTAAACCTGGTATACTTGTCAGTGTTGAACCTCCAGATCAAAACAACACAACCTTTCGCCCACCAACCCCCGAATATTCTGGAGACAGTGCTCGCCTAGAGATGAGTGAAGATGTACCATCATGTCAGGAAAATTGCATTAATCATAATAAACCAGATAAGGAGGTTTCTGAATCTACTGCCCCCAGTCTGGAAGAAGACAGTGTCCGAGAAACTGTTGGGCATGTGGCAGAAGACCCTTCTGTTTTGAACAAGGAAGTCCATTCACAACTTATGGAAGAAAGTAATGATCTAACCAAAGAAATTAGTATTGCCCCACCTATAGCAGCCTCTACTTTGATTTCTGACCACTCAGTGAGCACTGATCCTGGAGAGTCTGCTGCCCCCAATCTGAATGACAATGAGGATCCAGCCATAGAGAAAACTGTCCCAGTAACTACTATGACTTCTGAGACCACTTCTTGCCCAAATGGAGAGGAAATTTCTGAAAGTCCTGCTCCAAGTCTAGATATGGAAGATGTTCGAGAAAACACTGTGCATGTGGCAGAAGATCCTTCAGTTTTAAATCTAGTTGAGGCACCATTGCATCAGAATGGAGATAGCGAATCAGAGGAAATAAAGGAGTTTAAGGCTATTACAAAAGTGGAGCAAGAAGCCAATGAAACCAATGCCCAAACACATCTCATTCAAGGCAATGGGGAACCAGCCAAGGAGATTGCCCCAACCCTGCCTAATTCTGGTCCCTCCACTAATGATAATCATAAGCCAAATGATCCCCCAACTGACCTGAAACTGCCTGATTCTGCAAAGACAAACCGTAGCCTAAACACCAGGTACATTATGACAGCAGCAGGAGTGGGTGCCTGTGCACTGCTGATAGCGTGGAGGTTTAAGAATTAGCGGTCTACTTAATGCCTTTAAAGGAAGAGAAGATTAGGCTGCAAAAGAGGATCTGGAGGCTATTGGTGCCTTATTGTAGTCACTGGACTGGGTTGGTGTCAGGCAGCTGCTTAATAATTACCCATGGGAATTGCTGACTCTGCAGATTTTGTGATGTTATTAATAGTATGTTTGTGAATGGACTGAGTGAGTGATTAGAACAACAAAGAGAAATTAGTTTTTCCTTTTCATAGGACAATTTTAATTTTTAATTGTCTTCTCAATAATTGATTATGACTTGATTCTCAAAGTTGAAATTCAAAGGTTTAGAATATTAATATTATTTTTTTATGGTCTTTAGCTGGTAAGCACTTTATCCAACTTTTACTCCCTGCCAGTAAATGGCGTCTGTTTTTTTTTTTTTATTTATCTCATCTACATTAATGTTGATAAATCAATCATGAATACATTATAACAATATAAATAGTGTTTCTTATTACAAATGTTGTTAATGATTGGTTTCTGGTGAAATACGTTATTCAAACTAATCTAAAGTAAGTTTAATAATGTCTTAAAATATACCAAAAGCACACATTTTAGAAAATTTTAATAATTTAAGTATTTAATTGTGTCAGAATGAATTGTGCACAGTTATTTTTAAATGCCTTTTTAAATCTCAAATCAGCCCTTAAGAGTCTTTCAGTTGTTGTGGTTTCCTCATAAATTCTTTTTAAAGGATATGTGTGAATTGAGGTGGTCGCTTTTAAGTTGAACAATGCATCTGCACTTTGATGAAATTTCTAATACGGTTCAAAGATGAATAAAATATATAAAAGACAATCCCTTATCTTAGAGCGAGCTTGTACAATGTGTTTCTGTATTTATTTGTACAAAGAGATTACAGTATATATGTGTTTATTTTAAGAAAGTTGTAAAGCCTTTTCCTATTTCATTGTCTCAAAGAATACAGACTGAAATCATTGATAAAATAAGAAATACAAACATATTCTTCTTTCTGCTTTTTTGAGGAGATATATCAGTTTTATTTTTGCACAAATGCTGTTGTATAGGTAACATCTGTGGTAATTATGGCAAGTATGTAATTGTGTTTATTTTAACTTTGCATTTTAGCAACATGTAAGGGACCTATTGAGTGCAATGATAGTGCTGTTATCCCAACTAAGTGAAGTCTTACTCACTTTATGCATGTTTTAGCTTTGCATTGACAATCAATTAAATAAAGATTTTCTTAGAAATTGATTGATTTGTTTTGTGATTTTCAAGCAAGCTATCCTTTGGTTATTCCTAAACTTATCACTATTCATGAAGAACATCCATACAGAACCATAACAGCGCAGAGCACACTCTGATAAGTCCTTTCCAACGTCAATCATCTCTGCCCCGCCCACCACGCTGACAGCCGTATAAAAACGACATGTACCAAGCCGTTACATCGACACAGCTACTTAGGGTTAGCTAATTAGCCTTTAGCGTGACGGACATCGTTGTCCACACAATAAATGACCCTTGTTTGTAAACAAACAGCAGCATTTATGTGGCTTGGTGGTCATTTCAATGGCGTTTAATGGCCACTGCCGCGACGATGACATTATCGACGAAGACGAAACGCCCAAGAAGCTGCCGCGGTCCTCGAAGGAAATGCCCGGTTTGTGCAGGAGCGACCCCCACAATGAAGCAACTGCAACCCCCGGACCGTCCACTTCTGAGCGTAGGACCTTCAACTCCACCGGGAGGCTTCGGGCGGACTCGGTGAAGAAAAGCAGGCCGCGTAGGTGTTTTAAGCTCTGGCTCTGGGCTTAGTCTATTTCCCGCAAAGCACAGTTGTCTGTACACAGAAAGGGAAGGCGTGCCTCACAAAAGAGGCCAGTCAAAATAAGGATTACGGAGAGGATATTGGGAGAGTAGATCATATATTTAAGTCTTATAAAAATGCATTATATTTGCCTCATTTTGATCAAAACGTTATTACAGTGTAATATCAGTGGGACTTGATGTCAGTAAATGGCCTGGACCTTTTTTGCAACAAGATGGCGTTCGCGGTACACACTGTACTAAGGCAGTCTGCTGTAATGAGACCTACATCCATGTTGTACCACGGACAATAAAAAATGGAAATGCAATACATATTATGAAATTATCATTAATTATCAATATGATCATAATTAATAAGTGTACTGATTCAGACTATTTGTGTCTTATTATTTCTATTGCAGCATTTCCCTGGTTTGGTATGGACATTGGAGGCACTCTTGTAAAGCTAGTGTACTTTGAGCCTAAAGACATCACAGCTGAGGAGGAGCAGGAGGAGGTGGAGAACCTGAAGAGCATCCGGCGGTACCTCACCTCAAATACTGCCTATGGGACCACAGGCATCAGGGATGTCCACCTGGAGCTGCAGGACCTGACGCTGTGTGGACGCACCGGAAACCTGCACTTCATCCGCTTCCCTACCCAAGACCTGCCTGTCTTCCTCCAGATGGGACGAGACAAGCACTTCTCCAGCCTCCACACCACCCTCTGTGCCACGGGAGGGGGAGCCTACAAGTTTGAGGCTGATTTCAGAACGGTGGGTTCATAAAGCATTAAAATATATCTGTCATGCATTCTTACCTTTTACTTTAGATACCATCCTTGTTATTGGTATTACTCTAAATGAGACCCTGTAATTATCAATATTGTATTTGAAAATGTACAATACAAAAATGTTCACTTAATAATAACACAATTAATAATGCTTTTGTGCTAGTAATAATACTGAATTGACAAAACACCAGATAACCAGACAGTATAGTTAGTACTAGTACATCCAATAACATACAGTTAGATATAAAAGGTTAGCATTAGCACAGCTTTATCATGGTTTAGTAGTCTTAATAGCTTCATTTCACTTGGTAGAGTACAATAACACTATGTTTTTAGTTATTGTAATTTCTAATAGTTCATTTACTGCATGTTTTAACTGAACAAAGAAAAAGCTTGTTTGAGAACTGAGGACTACATCTGATGATTTTCATGTTGTTATTCTCTGGGTAGATGTGCTGTTACATTGTCAGTAACTTCCTGTTTTCTTACCCCCCGCCTTTGCGCTCCCTCCTGTTTCCTGTCTCGGTGCCCCTCCCCTCGCGGATGTTTCTCCTCAGATGGCCGATTTAGAGCTGCACAAACTGGACGAACTAGACTGCCTGATCCGCGGTGTTTTGTACATAGATTCTGTGATGCCCAGAGAATGCTACTACTTTGAAAACCCCACGGACCCGGAGCACTGCGTGGAGAGGCCCTACCCTCTGGAGAACCCTTATCCTCTGCTGCTGGTCAACATCGGGTCAGGGGTCAGCTTCCTAGCAGTTTACTCCAAAAACAACTACAAACGAGTCACTGGGACCAGGTAAATGTCAAACAGGGAGGGAGGTTAGTCAAAGCCACTAGACAAACACTAGTTTATGAAAAGATTAGAAAAATTACACTTTAACTGTGTAGAAACAACTGCATCATTTTAATACTTTTGATATTAGTAGTTCTGAAATTGCCTATAGCATGTTATAAAGATTTGACTTTTCTTTAGCTCACCTATTTCTTAAATAAACATCGCTCTTGCAATAGTTCTAGTAAATTAGTAGTAAATGTAGTAAATTACGTTTTCACTTCACTAGTACCTAGTTGTTCCTAATTGTTAAAAGGTTATTGTAGGTTTTTATCATACATTATTATTGTGTGTAATATGTAAATAAAATTAAAAAAAAAAATAGGCACACATTTAGCATCACAAAAAAGCTCACTAAAAATAATGTAACTCTGATTGTTGGTCACAAGATTTCCTTAGAGATAGTGTGACCCCACTGAACTCTTAACTCTTCAGGTACTTGGTGCAAATAGGTTTCGGTCTTGAGTCAAAGATGCAACATCTCCCTGCTGTCTGTGTTCTTACTGACATGTGAATAGTTGCCACATTTTTTAGTTTACCAGTGACAAAATCCCTTTCTTTTCTCACAGTTTGAGGCAAAATGTTACTTAAGTCTGAATCTAAATTTGCTGAAGTGGTGGTTTTGGTGTTTTTCTTCAGTTTTTCCACTACTTGTTTTTTCATGGGTGGTTTCTCAGTCGAACGGTTTTCAATAGAGACTTGTGAATGTTAAGATTTCCTTTGACATAGTGGGCCTCTGTTCTTTGTGCACTGAAAGAAATGCAAGAGTGGTTTATTTAATTTGAGACTCAGTGGAAGCCAGTGTTTTCACAAGTGTACAGTTTAACTTATAGGGGACATTTTGTTTGATTTTTATCTCTCCTGTTTTCTCTGCTCCACAGTCTGGGCGGTGGGACCTTTCTAGGCTTGTGCTGTCTTCTGACCGGCTGCTCCACCTTTGAAGAAGCTTTAGAAATGGCGTCTGAAGGGGAGAGCACGCGAGTGGACAAACTGGTGCGTGACATCTATGGAGGGGACTATGAGCGGTTCGGACTGCCTGGCTTTGCTGTGGCCTCCAGGTACATATTGCTTTTTATAGCATAATACTTTTATTTTTTATTTTTAACATACTATAAAATAAATATCAAAATAAGAAGGATGAAAATAAAATAACACTAAAGAAGTAATAGTCAACCAAAAATTTAAATACACAAGAAACAAGATATATATAATTCATTTAAAAAAGAGGAAAAATAATTCACTTTATACTTTACTTTACTTTAATAATACACTTTAATTTGAATGTGTGACTGCTGTCCCAAATGAATAAGCAACTCTGTTATCAACAGATCTTGAAAGCTCCTAGATTAAGATTTATGGCAGGTTTGACTGTTTTAACAAATTCTCTTGTGTAGTGCTGTAGTGTAGATTGCACACATTAATAATGAACTATGTAACTTTATTTGTGGGGGGGTCCGCTAGCTGCTTGTCACCATGGTGATGTTATTACTATTACTGCCTGAAATGCTCTACAGTTTTGTCATGTACTTTTACTTGAAAAGTTACATAGTGAACCTTTAATAAACTATTGCTGGTAAAAAATATACAAAATAACTGGTGAACCCTTGCAGAAGCTTTTATTCCCAAAGAGTTGTGTTTGTTATGTATATATTTTGAAATATGTATGTATAATTGTTTTGCAAAAATGCTAAATATTTATAATGTAAATTGTGTGCTTGTTTCAGTTTTGGCAACATGATGTCCAGAGAGAAGCGAGAGTCTGTTTCCAAAGAGGACTTGGCGCGGGCCACTTTGGTCACCATCACCAACAACATCGGCTCCATCACCCGAATGTGCGCTCTCAATGAGGTCAGTGGGTCAGAGCTGAAACTCACAACTACTCTCACTGTTTAGATGCTATTAAACCCAGTTGTCTTTTACATACATACATACATACATACATACATACATATATATATACATACATACAGACAGACAGACAGACATACATATATGCTTTCCCCTTTATTTTGCAGTTTGAATATGTTTATTTTAAGACTTTGCTGTGAATATGTGTTTTGAGAGGAGCCAGTGCAGTGGAATAATTTCCTCTCTGCGTTCAGCCTCTTTACGGTGCTGCCTTGTGGCGTCTTGATCAAGCAGCATTGTACAGGGCTATGAAGGCGGACCAGGGGCTCCATCTGCTGACAAGCACTGCTCTGCTACAACAATGTTCAAGTTCCTCTTTACATTTTGATCAAATTCAGCTGTGCAAGGGCATATGAAACTGACTGTGTGTCTTGCTTCTTTTTTGCTTTTTTTGTTCAGAACATCGAGCGAGTGGTGTTTGTGGGGAACTTCCTGAGAGTGAACACTCTCTCCATGAAGCTGCTGGCTTATGCCATGGACTACTGGTCTAAAGGACAACTCAAAGCACTGTTCCTGCGACATGAAGTCAGTGCTTTACACAGACAAACCTAAACCACATCAATTTTATTGATGTATTTGTTTAAAGCTCTGCCTGGTTCTGTTTCAGGGTTACTTTGGGGCTGTTGGAGCGCTGCTGGAGCTTCTCCATCCCTCTGAATGTTTGTGAATGAAACCTTCACCTGTCGATGCTGCAGAAACACTGAGCACTTTGACCCAAGATCTTTTGTTCTTTTACCACAAAGTTTAACAAACAGTTTAAAAGAGCAGCTGCTGTGACTGAACCAAAGTTTGTGTATCTCATGGATTTCACCTCCAGTGGCCTTGTTTCCTTCAGCCTGTGGACAGAGTTACTCATCACTGTGACAACCGCAGTACCAAAGATGTTTGGTCTGTTGCACTAATGTAGGCACATTATTTAAATGGAGGTTATACAGTTTTAAGACTGGAAAGTCCAAAAATGGTCATGTGATACTGAATACTTTGATACCTGTGTATACTATTTACAGATACATTCCGGCACTGAATATGGTTTGTTAAACCTTGTGGCTGGATTTGATCATTTGAATTATCTAATTAATAGATAGATTAATAGTATAACAGAATATCTGAAGAACTTTTTTTTCACTTTTTGACGATTTTTATTTAACCCACGGCATCATAAACTAGTAATAATATCCAGTATATATACATACCTTAAGTTTCCACACTGGAGATCTGTATTTCTTTTGTTTTTTGTTGAAGCTTTATTTGATAAACTTATCTTATATGTGTTTGTGGATTCACAGTAAATACTGCGCTAATGTTGGGATTCTCCCAAAAAACAATGACAGGTTTTAAGACAATCAGGCATAACTTATGTAAGTTAATATTGAGCTCTTTTTAAATTGAACCCAAAGCATATTTGTCTCAGTGAAAGATTTATTTTTTTTTTGTAAATGATGGGACCATCTATGAAAGTATTGTTGTCTGTTGGTCTAAAGTGCCTGTTTTTGTATTACATTTCTGCAAAACAAAAGTTTGTTGAGTATGTTATCAAAAAATCATTTAACATTTTCATACTGATGTTTCTCAAATAAACACTTATTTGAAACTTTAGGCTTTGTCTGTTGAAATATTAAATCTTTAGACTTTGTGAAGTAAACAGCTGTATGGTTGGATCAAATTTCAGCCATTTTGTAACAGTGCCAACCCTGAAGTACTTCAACCATGGGTGTATAATTCAGAACTTCAGCACAAAAGTAGAAAAGCAAACAATATATTATTTACCAAAATGTGGTGATATAAAGTGTTTAAAGTGTGGCCCCTGGCACTGGATGTGCACTACATTATAATAACACAATTCAAATTAATAAAAGGGGAATTTAACCTGCAACCTTGTGGTTTTTGGGCAAGCAGCCTAAACACTATCTCTGAAGGAAAAAAGGTAAGCGTATGTTTTCATTCATCAGCATATGCAAATGAATCTCCAGCGATCAGTGTATTTTAAGTAGGCTGAAGTCTAAAAATCATCAGTGAACATTATAATGAAGTATAGGAAAGACTAGCCTTGCATTTCTATATGATTTCTTATGTACACTATCCTAAATTTGCTAAGTGTTTCCTGTTTTTAGACCTCAAAATCACAGGTCGTCGCGTGTATTTTTAGTCCAAAATACACGTGTTTTGGTGTTAGAGCCATGAAAGAGTCAGTGTTACGGTCCTCCCAAAGCCCCAGAGCCCGCCCCGTCCCTCCTCCCTGCTCTCCGCGGCTCCCCCTCTCCTCTCTCGGCCTGACTGACGCGAAGGGAGGCGGGAGGCTGTACAGCTGGCAATTATACTCTCGGTCTCCGCTCTCACTCACTTTAATTGGCACCTCGTTGGCCTCAAATTGAACCCAGGCTTTAGATGCTCGCATTAACGCGGCTTGTGGATTAATAATTTGATTTTTTGTCTCATTTTTGGCGCTGGTTCAACTTTCGACAAAGATCTTTTTCATCGGAGCTGCCCACTCTCCGTTGGGACCGTTATAACCTCCTCAGCCGGCAAGACAAGGTAAGAGAAATATTGGATAAACTAGCATAACTTTTATTTAACATAAATTAGTCTTTACATTATAGACCATTTGCATACTTTGGAATTAATCTGTAGAGGATAATTATTAAATGTACTTAAAATCTTGCTATTAATTAGCAGAACAATAGTCAGTGGTCAGAAATTACGTTATAAAAGCTCTGGGCAATGCTCTGCTCTGCTAATTAAAAGGAGCGTTAAGACCTCATGTTTTGGCAGTAATTAAATGTAGGCTAATATGTTAAAAAGTTCACAAATTACAAACTAAAACTGAACTAAATCTATTTAAACTATTGTTAACAGTTTGATGAATGAAGAAAAGTGTAATGACAGATGTTAGGCTAGTTGTTGCAGGCAATAAAATATAGACTTAGAGAAGCACATTGGTTTGGTCTGGGTTCAGTCTTTGTACAAATTAGCCTCACAAAAACTATAAAGAGAAGTAATTTAATAAATATGCATACAAGGCTATCCTGCTGCTATAACTAAAAACTCTACAAAGAAAGACTAAGATTAAGACTAAATATGTCTACTTGTCTAGCTTCTGCACATTAAGAGCCCACGTACCTACGCTTTTTGGCTGCTACTACTGCAAAGCTGAGCAGCAGCACGTCTCAGTGGAGAGTTAAATAAATGTTGATCAAATGAAAAATGCCAGGAATGCAAGAGGAAACACAGGCAGACCAAAATCAGTCTCAAATATGTGTCAAATAAATTCATTCATTGCTATAAATGGATCTGGCTTAGGGTGATCAGAGGTCCCAGTTTAGAGCCCTGTGTCCCCTGCCCCAGCAGATTTATCCAAAACCATGATTAGTCTCAGTTATAACAAATGTCCCAGATGTCCCTATTTTTGACAAATTTTACACCTACCAACAGTAAAGAGAAGCATGCATTGCTACTTGTTTAGGTAAAATACAGAAAAGCTGCTTAAAATTACTGAGGTGTCCCAGTTTTGATTTTGAAAATATGGTCACCCAAACCTATCTGAAAAGTTCTGAAGACATGTACTACGCTATTCAAAGTTCAAAACCAGTTAACCTCATCAATAGTTATGTATTTGCTGTATTTAAAGGTCCACTATGTAAAAATTTCTGGTGGAGGGTCCACCACCTGCTTGTCACAATGAAGATGTTATTGTGATGTCTAAAATATCACAAAGTATGGCATTAATTGTATCTGTCTTCATGGATGGAGACGAGCAGATGATGCTACCAGACCAAGACATAGGTCTGGTCTGTGGAAAGGCAAGTCCACTCACCATATGAATGTATGTGCACTTTTAATAAAATATTTATACTGAGTTGTTTAATTGGAACATATAGTTATGATATGGATAACCCTTATGAAAAGTATTAGGTAAAATTTGTGTAAACCTAATTGTCTTTTATTGATGAACGGGTCTGTTGCAACTAGGAATTTAATTTACAAATTATAGCGGCATCATACTGTAGGGGTTCTACATGTATGTGTATGGCAAAATGTCCACCAGTTACCATGGAGACACAATGCATAAATTACCAAACACGTTTAATGATTGTCTGAAAACTCAAGACAAAAAAACAAAAACAAAATGGATTTAAACAACACATTTTCAGGAGCCTGTGACCAATTTGAGTGTCCGTAGTCCTTTTAGGTATTAGATTGTCAACAAAAATGTGAGAATTACTAACTCAAAAACTGTTAGCTAATGCTAGCTAATTTGTGACTGTAATCTTATGTGGAACTTGTGTTAGAGCACAAATCAACTCACCTGTTGTAGATGCATCTAAGTCAGTTCTTCTTGTTCAGATTGTGTTAAAACAAACTCAGATTAAAGTCTAACAAAGCCTCAGACAAAGCAGTGCTTACAGTTACCGTTACTCTCCCAGTGAATGTTGATGACATCAGCAGCAGAGTATCAATACAAATCTCAAACTTGTGCCCTTCAATCCCTGAATCCCATGGCCATTTATTCAGTGTGATTTCTCGACATGCAGACAGCCAGACATGTTTTGGAAAAGGCAGGTTTCAGTCTATGGCTCCTGTAATAACTACATACTACACTACTGTATTTGTGTCTGAACAACCAGCCCCCTCCACACACAAGGCAGCCTCAAAGGGACATCTATGTGGGTCTCCTTATACCCACTGTACGTGCTCTGCCATTAATCCAAATTATCCTAAATGGGGGACCCTCAAGGGTTTGTTTTTGCTAATTTTTCAAACGTGACGGTGAGTTGGAGCTCTGGTATGTAGGTTTGATGGACAGGTCTGTTTCATGGGTCACTGCTCACAGAATCAGACTGTGGGTGTATGAGCTCCTTAGGTGAAGGGCTGCATGTGAAAGTTACTATATGATTATATGGAGAAGAAGAGTTGCTGTTATCACAATACTAAAACTTCAAACTAAATTTTGATAGTCATTACCAATTTTGATACCACAATGATAGTGAAACATGTAATTTTCAATTTTAATTACTGCAGTTATTTAGATAAAGTGTCTTATTTTATAGATGATCATATTATGCATACAGCTAATCCTGACATTTATAATTTTATATGCCCAACATTATTTAAAATAAATGTTTGTATTTGAATTAGTTCATTTCCACTTACACTTTTTTAGTGTAATACTAGTGTAAGTATTTGCTATTCCTCTATCAAATCTAAACAATAATGTCATAAAACAGCAAATATTAGGACTTCTTCCCATATCTCTCAGACAAGAATGTGTTGAGTCTTGACCTTAATTGGGTTTTAATAAACAAAGCTCCTGCCTTAATATACAAATAATTAAAGCAGTCTGCATTTAATTATCTTTCTTATATCACCCTGTTATTTAAGCTTTCTTATATCACCGTGTTATGAGAGGAGCAGCTGTCTTCACTCAACTTATGAGCTCTTCCATGCTCCATCTGCTCTGCATACTTTTACTGTGGTGTCCACAGAGCCGCATCCATCACTGCTTTATTCTGCAGATTGATGATACATTGATAGATTGATAGACTGATAGATTCTTTATTGATCCCAAAGGAAATTAAAATTAAATTAAGATGGGTGCAACCTGACAACAGCATGGTGAACCACATTTAGATACTACAGATGTACTACTAAAGAGTCTGTAGAGGACTGTGGGGATTATGTTGTCTCAGTAGAACACATTCCCAGTTTGCCTCATTGTTACTTTGCAGCTGATGGTGTCAATATTCCCTAGAGGTGTGATGCTAACTGGAGCACTGCTCTGACTGAAGCTCTGTTACTCAAGTGAGACATTAATCTGAGCTTTATTTTAACATAATTTGACCAGAAAGAACTGATTTAGATGGAACTACAACAGGTGAAATGATTTGTGCTCTTAACTAAATAAGTTCAATGTGAAATAAGTCGCTCACACATAAAATTATAGTCACAAGCTCGCAAGCATTAGCCAGCAGTTTGTCACTTTTTGACTTAGTCGCTCACACGTATTTGTTGAAAATCAAACACCTAAACAGGACCATGAATGTTCATATCCATTTTGTATTTTTTCTTGATTTTTCAGGCAATCTATTTTAATCACTGTTTTTTTGGTTTTGCTAATGTGTGCATTATGTGACCATGGTAACATTACACCATAGAGATGCATAGAAATACAGCCCCAGCACGATGTCACTTGAAAGTATCACTAATAAACCAGTGGGGATTTTAAGATGTTAACAAACTATGAAATTCATATTAGGCAAACTAATTACCTGTGCGTGCATGCTTAGTGCTCATAACAAACAGCAGAGTAGCCCCAGTACGCTCCATTTATTATCCTGGTTATTCTGTTTACTAAAATAGCACATTGTTGGCTTCTGTTTTTATTCCATAGTCATTACACTTAAGTGGTCATGAAACAGCATTCAGCCAAACCTTGTAGACCAAATTATGAATAAAAATCAGATATTTTTGTCAGGCGATACCTCTAATTTCAGTATGTCTAAACCAAAATTTGTTAAATACAATTGTTTATAAAAGGTCATACGAACTTGTGAAATTGTCACAGGTTATGAAAAAAATCATTTTGACTATTGACGTTTACTTAGTCTTTTCTTGTCTCTTTTTTCAGTGGTTCCAATGGACAGATTCAAGCATCGATCTCAGTTGTCCATCTTGTTACTAGGCCTGTTACTACCATCATGCTTCTTCCAAACCACACCACAGCCCTCAGTGTCCCCCTGCCCTCCCCCTCCTCCTCTCAGGCCGATCGGCTCCGGGTGCGACTGACGGGATACCCCCGAAAACACAATGAGGGGCGGGTAGAGCTCTTTTATAAGGGCGAGTGGGGCACTATCTGTGACGACGACTTCTCTATTCAAAACGCCAATGTCCTCTGTCGACAACTGGGCTTTGTCTCTGCCACTGGATGGACCCACAGCGCCAAGTACGGCAAAGGACAAGGTCAGAGCCACTCTAAACAGTTAGCGGTTTAGCCAGTGTTTCCCTACAATAAGGGAACTATGGTCCTGGCCCCCCATAATTTTTACCCTCATAGTTGTAAAATAAGCAGAAAAACAAAAATGGTGAAAGAAATTACACTTTTTGCTTGTAGTATTGTCATAAACACAGTAAGTGGCATTTATTCTCCATAAATTATTTAAAGAAAACCTATTATGCAAAATAGACTTTTCAAAGCATTTTTCACTTATTTTCAAGACACCATATTGCCAGTCAACCCCCGTTTTCACCACCACCGGTACACGATCACTGCTTTCTATAACTTTATTTCCTTAAGTTATGATATGCATAACATTCACAATATGTATTCTTCATGTAAAATTAAAATATGTATTACTTGGGCCACCCTAGTCTCAGTATTTTGTTTTTGATGTCCAACTCCTCCTAGTGCTCACTAAAGCTGTGCACTTGGGCAATGTGTGTTTTTGTGTGTGTGATTATGGGACAATTGATGGACATTAACATTAGGTTTGCATGCAACCCTCAAATCTTGTGACCTTTTCTGCAGGTAAAATCTGGCTGGACAATGTAAACTGTAATGGTGGAGAGAAAAGCATTGAAAACTGTAGATCTCGCGGTTGGGGAAACAGTGACTGCACCCACGATGAAGATGCTGGGGTGGTGTGCAAAGATGAGAGGATCCCCGGCTTTGTCGACTCAAACGTCATTGATGTAAGTTACCAAGAAAACATACTACCCCTGTACCTCAGATCTTTGGGAAATTAAAAGTGCAAATCTCATGTTATTTGTGTATTAATATTTTGAAGATGACTCAAAAAAAAAAAAAACTGGATGTGTTTGCTAATGTGTGCATTGTGTCACCATAGTAACCACTGAACATTCCCTCATAGATATATACACATTCACCCCCAGCATGATGTCATTGCAAAGTGTCAATCAGCTGTTAGTTCTGTAGTTTATATTTCAGTGTTCTCTCAAAGTTTAATGCTCTTGAAATTTGCGTTGTGAACAATAAAAAATATATACATCACACATTTATTTGCTATTATAATAGTAACACCCCAGTTCATGAGTTCACAGTTGTTTGCTCATTACAATTACAAGACCATAAACAGCCGTGAGTGCTGTCCCTAGGGGCTCTGTACGTCTGAACCACAGAGATGTTAAATGGTTCAGTTAGACACATCTGCTCCTGGTTAGACCTACATACTGTGTGAAGCCTGTCCTTAGTTTACACAGAGTTTGTACAGTGTTTGTACAGTGAATGGAAAAGGCCTCTCACTAAATTGATCTGTTGTCTCACAGATCAGTGCAGAGTTGGACTGCTGCTTTAGGGGCGTGACCTCAGACATTTTGGTCCAAGAAGATATTATACCATGTCCAACAAATACATTTATTTAATGCAATAAAATGTTGAGAATCAAGTTAACTGTATTATGCCAAATTTTAGATATGAATGCTATATTTTAGGACTGCAACTAATGATTATTTTAGTAGTCACTTGGTCAGCAATTATTTTTTCAGTTAGTTGGTGAGTAAATGTCTTATTTCACTATTATTTATTATTATCCAATACTGAGATTTTCAAAGTACATTTATAACCAAGTAAAGTTTAACATGTCAACTAACTAGGCTAGGCATTATGGTAGAATATATTATGTATTATTGATGAAAATCTGAAACTTTGTATTCTTTTTTTTTGTAATTTTGATCTAATAAGACTTTGTTATAAAAAAAGATCTTTTGGCATGTGTTTAGTCCTGAGAACAATGATCAGAACTGGATTATTTTAATAGCTGATTACTACTGTAGACTGTGTTATTTTTTACTTCAGTTATATTTCAGTTTATTTTACACTTGTGTCTCTTCTATTCCTCTCCGAAGTAGAGACCAATAGAAATAAATAGTGCTCAGAGCTGTGAGAAACAAAACACCATATGTTGAACATTAATCCTATATATATAATGCAAACGTTGTTTATTTACGAAGATATAAATATGTTAATGTGTTTTTTTCACTGCAACACCATTTCAGTCAGTTACATGATAGCCTCTTGACTCTGATCAACATTTCTTTGTATTACTTTGTTCTTAGTAACTCTCCCTTTCTCCTGCTGTTTGTGTGAGTAGCTGAAATGTGGTGTCCAGACCTGACTCTGAAACTGATCCAAGACTTTTTCCAAATAAACCACAGTGGAAGTGACTCAGAGTGAAGCCAGCAGCAGTGATAGTCACGTTTACCATGTACGAGCACTACGTAATACAATAAGACCCACAATCACCCCATTACTCAGTTTGTAGACTTGTATAAATGCATTTACACATGTTCGACCTGCAAAGTCCTTCTCCAGACAAGTCTGACCTACTTTTATATTTTGTACAATTTACAGTATATTATTGCAAAAGAAGACTGAATAGTCTCAACGTAGCTTCTTCACTGTGTCTATTCACTTTCACAACCATCTTCTGCTATAAACCCCACTTGGACGACCAAAGGATTACACAGCATTTATTACTTACATTTATTGCATTTATTACTTACATTTTCCGGTAATCTTGTTTTTTCCATTATAGATATTTTTATTGCATCACCTGCTTGAGATAGATGTTAAATGCCATACTGTTGAATACTGAGGGCAAATGCATAATCTTCTCCATGGAGACACGCAGGTAGTGGACCCTCCAACGGAAAAAAATAGACAGATAGATGATGAAAACACATTTGAGGAGCCTGTGATTACTATGAGTGTTCATGGTCCTGTTTAGGTGTTTGATTTTCAACAAAAAGTTGGGAGACAGACTGAAAAACTGCTATTTGGGAGGGACCTTTTAACAACACAAATCAGCTCACCTTTTGTAGTAAGTTAGTTCTTTATGGTCAGATTGTGTTAAAATGAAGCCTAATAAAGCCTCAGACAGAGCATGCCTCCAGTTAGCATCACACCCTCAGGTAATATTGAAGACATCAGCGGCAAAGTATCAATTGAAGCTGCTTTGTAATTTATCTTCTTCTTATCTTTCTTAGGCCCAGGTGGATGAGAACAAGATTGAGGAGGTGCGGCTGCGTCCCGTGGTGAACATGGCAAAGAAGAAGCGCCCGGTCACAGAGGGGGTGGTGGAGGTGCGGTACAAGGATGGCTGGGCGCAGGTCTGTGATGTGGGCTGGACCATCAAAAACACGCGTGTGGTCTGCGGCATGCTGGGGTTCCCACACGAGAGGAAAGTCAACAAGAACTTCTACAAGTGAGTCCAGTGCTTTCAAACACAACTGTCTATGAACTGGAGTGAATGCTGTGTACTTGTAGTGAAATACTGTAAGTGGTTTGGAATTATCTGGAAATCTTATTTGATCATCTAGTAGGATTAAACACATTTGGTTGCGTTTATAGGCCTGTTTAACTCTGGGTGATTTACTGACAAAAACAAAAAAAACTGTAGTCCTTTCTTAAATGTTAAAGGTGCACTATGTAACTTTAAAGTCGGGGGTCCGTCACCGTATATTTCAGACAACGCAATAACATCTCCATGAAGAAAAGCAGCTGACGGTCCCGCCACCAGAAAAGTAACACAATGCACCTTTAATGCTGCCAGAGTTGCTTATAATTCGCACTCTGAACATCGTACTTTATACACATTGTATTGCAAATAGGGGTGTGACGAGTTACAATATTCGCAAGACAAGAATTTGATAAAAATAACATAAAAAGTAACTACACTGTTCAAAAGACTGCTAAAATGTGAAATGCATGCAATAAGTGAAATTCAAACTCCACATATAGTATAAAAGAAAAAAGTATTTGTGTCACCATAGTCTAAACAAAAACTATGGGGAACACTGCACTGCACAGGATAGGTCCTGACATATGCACAATCTTGTAGCAATTTTTGTCTTGTGAGATCTTGTGACTCGAGATTTTTTTTTTTTATTATGCAGTCCTATTTCCCGATACAAGGCAGAGCAGATGCCAGTAAAGCATTCAGTTTCGTGTTGACCCCCATGTTGACTGTTGTTTGGTGTTTGCTGTAGCCTGTTTGACATTCCTGTGGATTCACTCAAGGAAGAAGTAACACAACAATGAGACACAAAAAAATAGTCATCTGAGGCTATATATTTCAGTCATATGTTCTGGCCTGAATTACATTTTTAATATACATGGTATATAACAAGGTAGTAAATTATTTTTATAGTCCATAGTTAAATTGCCCTTTTTCACTTTAAGAGATAAGACTACAGATATATTCTGAGTATTTGTCCTGGTTTAGTGCTATTGAAGGCTTGGTTTGGTCCTGGTCCAGGTTTAGTTACAGGTTTAATCCCAGTTCAGTCCCAATTTTGATGTGGTTTCGTTTGTAAGTGTTTTCTACATACATAGTCTACATACATACAATACAATACTGTCAGTGGGAAGAAGAAAATACACTCAAGTATGACTGAGCATGTGGTCAATATTCTGAAAAACATAACAGAAAGACTTGGCTGTCAGTGTTTAAACCACACTGTCATATTTACTGGATTATTGCTCTATGGGCTTTTGATGTTTATTGTCTCTTGAGTCCTGGACACTGGTTTGGTATGTGTAAGCCGAACACATTCCTGGTTGGTTTCCAGACTGATTCTCTGCAGATGTTTTAACAGCAGCCCTCAGTGGAGTTTGTCTTTTCTTTGGAGCGTGAAGAGGATCAAACTCAGGGAATGATGAAAAAGAAACCACTTTATTGGTAGTTGGTAGTAGTATCAGGTAGCTGAGTTTGATTGTGTCACTTACGCAAATATGGCTGAGAGTTATATTCCTGTATCAGTGTGGTAATGTGGTATTTTCCTAGGAAATATTTAAAAGGAAAGTGTTGAACCTGATCATTTATACTGACAAGGTTTATTATCCCACTTGATCCATCCAACCACACAAAAATTTGATCATTATACCTGCCATCATATCAATCAAAAAACAGGTTTATGTCTAGCCTCCTAGGACCTGACGTCCACATATGTGGGTAGATATGTCCAAAACATTTTGGGTTCAGGCACTGAATAAATAGTTTTTGCAAATCATTATTCAATTATGACTTATGACTTATAGTGTTCCATCAAAATGATGAAAACATAAAATGAATGTTTTATATATCATATGTGGACATATAAATATAAAAAATTTTCTTGTTTTTGCACTCATCAAGTCCCAATCAGCTCAAATAACAAAGAAAAATCAATATAGCATGCCATGTGAGAGTTTGGGTCCTAGGAGGTTTTAATGTTTTCAATGACTTGGCTCATCTCACGTGATTAAAGATGCACTGGGTAACTTTTCTTGTGAGAGGCCCTCCACCTGATAACTGCTTTTCTTGGAATTCCAACAAGTGATTGTTTCGTTTTGCAGTAATTCACCGCAAATTAAAGCATTTATATCTCCAATGCAGACCAGCAGGTGGCAGACCTTTCCCCAGAAAAGTAAAAAGTTATAAGGAACACTTTTGGTTGTACTTTTTTTGATAGGATATTACATAATTTTTTGGGCTCCCTGCCTTTTAGCGCACGAGTAAATGTGCCTATGGTCTACATGCACCTTCCCAGTGTTTGCCTTTGGTCTGTCACCTCTGTGTGATGAATCTGTGCATCTCACTATTGCAGAAGTCTCAAAAAGCGTGCGGCTGTGAAGGGGTCCAGGTCAAAGGTCAATGTTGTTTCGAGTGGAAGGTACAGTGTGAACGGAAACCCATCGTCCTGCTCTATTATGCTCATGTCTGCCCTTGTCCTGCGCCTGTCTGCCCCTGTCGCTTCTGAGCAGTCTGACGATGGGTTTCACTTGTAGAGTTTACCTGTTGCTGTAGTGTGTGCAGTTTGCTTAGACTTAGTTATCTTAGACTGTTGGTTCTCAAACAATGGTTCATGTATTTTAGTTTAGTGTTTATAGGTGGCCTTTTGAAGACATTTCACCATTTAAATAATATAATATTGTCTTTTAAATTGTATAGCCATGGTGGTGGTAACTGAAGTTTGAAACCTTTAGATAGTGCTTTTCTTGATGCTCAAAGTAGCATCAAGAAAAGCACAAAAGTAGTGGGGGTGTCTTGCTTGAAAACACAATAACAGTAGATGGAATAAGATTGGACCACCAACATTTGAGTAATCTGCTCAACACTGTGCTTTCACCCTATAGACCTGGTTTAGAGCTTGCTTTAATCCTAGTTTTATGGTTTAGACAATTTTTAAGATGTGTTGGAGTTGGTAAATGTTTTCTGAGCTGGTATTTGGTGAGAGTGTTTGAGAATCACAGGATTATAGTCAGCTTTCTCTTTTCTTGTCTCTAAGACAAATAGAAGTTTCAGTATTTCCCAAACAGTGTGTGGGTCTGGGCGTAGGATTCTACACAATATAAATATCTTCCTAAGGTAAAATGTTTGGTAAAATTGCTGTTATTTTCTCCATACAATACATCGATGTTAGTACCTATCTGCTGTTTGCTCTAGGTAGATTTAATAGATATTACAGGTGCACTGTGTAACTTTTACTATGTAACTTTTCTTTTCATATTATATAAATGTTCCACAGTATGGCATTAAACCTATCTATCACCATGTAGACAAGGTTACAGATCAAATTTGTGGAGAGGCAAAATCATGTAGCAATGGACCCTCCACTAGAAAAGTTATGTAGTGTACCTTTAGTGATGCTTCAAGCTCTCAGAAAACTATCTTAGTACTGCTGCTTAAACTTATGGCTCTGTGTTAGTAAGTGAACAGGCACATGCTTTTGGTGACATTTTATGCCCCTTTGTGCAGTTGTTTTATTTTCTACCTCTTGTTTACATTGCAGGCCGACACCCAAACCTAAAGTTAACACTAAACTGAGCAATGCTGGCAAAAGGTAACCAGCATATTATTTTCTGCTATAAGAAAATAAATATGCTCAAAATGAAATTGTCTCAACACAACTTTGATACTATCTTTTGTAACTTCACAGGCAATAGAAAATAATGGGCTACAACTTTGACTGCTTTAGTAATTGACTAGTCTGAAATATATTTTTTGATTAAGTGATTGTTTCTGTTGTACAAGGCATTAGTTACATTAAAAACAAAATAAATGTTCAAAAATATAGGTTTCCGAATAGAGAATATTTACAAGCATTCGTGATACACATTTGAAAATCTTTTTACATTTCATTTGATATGTTATTATTGCAAATGCCCTGGGTTTTAGAGTGTGTATAATCCAGATAACGGTTACAAGTTTTAAATAGTCAACCAATCATGGTTATTTGATTAATCGTTGCAGCCCTAATGGAAATATATTCAAGAATATTTCTTCAATAACTTGCACAAATTTGTATGTTTCAGGCTGTATTTGGAGCGTCAGAAGAGTTACTACCATGTTCACTCTGTGGCCTGCACCGGGACAGAAGAGCATCTCGCCGCTTGCCCCCTTGAGTTCAACAAACCCAACACCACCTTCAACTGTGGGGGGTCTGCCGCTGTGGTCAGCTGTATGCCCGGACCACTCTTCATGCAGAACACTGGGCTCAAGAAGAAACTCAAAACTTCTGTAAAGTGGATTAATATTTATTATGACTATACTATCTCACTATGGTTAATATTATGTGGTATTAAGGCATGCATGTGGTATATGTTTGTGCTTCTATTGGAGGGGACAATTTATTCTTTATTTATTTAAATTACATACACTATTCTAATGTATTTAATGTTAAGTATTTTTATTAGAGTATTTTATTTAGAGTTTATAATATATGATAATGATTTTGTCCAAGTTTAAGGGACTTAGAACTGTACCTTTTGAAATTCACATATTCAGACTAGGCAAGCTTTGCCAAATGGGCTTGTAGAAAATTATAATTATGGCACTGAAAAAAAGCAAAAATTACTAAGAAAATGTCTCACTGGTATTTGGGCAGGTGGTGGACCCTCCTCTAGAAATTTTACGCTGGTCATCATTAGTACATGTATTTTCAAGTTCTAGTAGTCATATTTGTTCTCATTTACTGAGTGTATCTCTCTGTTTTTGTGTTTAGACCAACGTGCGTCTGAAGGGAGGAGCGAAGGTGGGTGAGGGGCGGGTGGAGGTGCTCAAAGGTTCGGAGTGGGGCACAGTGTGTGATGACCGGTGGAACCTGCTGTCAGCCAGTGTCGTGTGCAGAGAGCTGGGCTTTGGCAGTGCCAAGGAGGCTCTGACCGGGGCACGCATGGGGCAAGGTGAAAATACAATGAAATTAATTAACTACATGAATATATAATGACTTACCCACTTATGCAACCGTCTATTTTTAATAATGTCTGAAGTTTACCAGATGATTCTCAGGTATCCATCATTGCCTTACGTCCTTATTTTGTCTCTTAAAGTACTTTATTTTCCACTATACAGTATACTTAAAACAAACATTTAACAAAAGTAAGATTTTTGGCTCACATACCTGTCACATTTCCACAATGAAAAAGACTTGTTGAGATTTATTTAGTAGCAGTAGTAGACTCGCTAGCTTAGTATTTGTCACAAATGGATTTAATTACTATACACTTTGCTACTAGACATTTTTCCTGCCTGGCTTTATAGTTAACATCCTAGTTTAGAACATTGCGTGTAGACATTAAATGAACATAGCTAACCTGCTAGCCGCATGAGCCTCATCATTTTGGCTTTAAAATGTTCGTATTAATCCGCTCTATATGTTCCTAGTATTTTTGTTTTGCTATATTTCATTTGAATGGAGCTGAACGTTATGAGTGAAACTATTAATGTTTTACTGTTTTTGTTTGTTATATTGTGTCTCCAGTGCTGTCATAACTGTCTATAATGGGAAGTAGCATACTCCATACTATGTAAAGTTTGAATGAATATGAATGAAAGCACCAGTACATTTGGGTTAAACCTGAGATACAGTCAGTCTCTTTTACTTAACTTCTGGGAAACTTAGGTGTGGACGTTTACCTCTGTTTGAACATATCCACCACAGTAGACTCTCCTCACAAAACATGGCTCTGTGCAAAGGCGGATGTGAACGCGGCACGTTTCTAGACCGAAAAATTCCCAAACGTCACTGGATTCGGAAACATGTGCAACTGAAGGAATTTCTTTCATTGAAGTTGCATAAGTTAGTGGAGGAGGTGCGCTAGGAGAAGGACTCAAAGTTTAGGCATGTGGAGCTAATGGACACAGCTCTGTAAACATGACTTGGCAAAAATCAACAGCTGCTTGGTCATGATGAAGTTATAAAATGCAGTGATTTATGAGTATTTTTCCGTTCATATTAAAGTCCCACTTTATAACTTTTCTGGTGGGAGGTACGCCACTTCCTTGTCTCCTTGGACATGGTATTGCTTCATCAGGAATGTTAGTATGGCATTAAACATATCTATCTTGCTTATTTTCAATGGTGTAATAATATACATTGACTGTGGGCAAGCACCAACTCTAAAAAAATAATAAAAAAAACAAACTTAAAACTAATAATTGTTTTCAACTGACACCTAGTGTTCATTTTAGTTCTGTTTAGCAGTTATATTTTTGGATTCGTATGTATTATTAACGTCTGCTGTGAAATGGGATTAGCGGCTATGATCTGAGTGAAACTTATTTCAGAGGATTTCAGCGAAATGTTTTTTGGTTTTTTTTATTATTGAGAGTTTTTTTCATATAGGTCTAGGACTGTTATCATAGTCATCATTTATTGTAACATCACAGACTTAAATATATGTAGTAAACAGAATGTATTTTTTAATTTGTCAGGAATGGGTCCGATCTACATGAATGAGGTGAAGTGCGCAGGGACAGAAAAGTCAATCTGGAATTGTCCCTTTAAAAACATCACATCTGAAGACTGTCAACACACAGAGGACGCTGCTGTGCGCTGCAACGTGCCCTACCTCGGTTTGGAGAACTCGGTCAGATAAACTATACTCTTTCACATTATCACAGTCTTTTTTGTCTAAAGTTAAGATATTTGAAAGCGTGCATTATTTATAGCCATAACCAGCCAATCTTTTCTAAATGTGTTTTGAATTTTCAGATTTGACCGTCTTTTTACTAATATTCTTATAAGTTGTTACACATTAAGGGCTACATGTACTTTTGAGATTAAGATACTGTATGGTGTACTGTTATTATTGTGAGACAGTACCCAAATGGATTGAAATAAGAACACATAATAAGCAGAGGTTTAAAATCAATATTAAAAGTACATCTAGCCCCTATAGTGTCATTTAACATTTCTTTTTAAGTATTACTAATCTTCAGTAGGGCTTGGGCAATATGGCGTTAGAAACAGAAGTGACAATAATGGTAAATGGTCACATTTTTCTATAGCACTTTTCCACCTTCAAGGCACTTTACAACAAGGAACCACTCACCCATTCACACACACATTCATACACCAGAATACACAGACACTGTGGGCAAGGTGGGTTAAGTGTCTTGCCCAAGGACACAACGACAGCAGTCATCTGTGGGAGCTGGAATCACACCAGCCAACCTGTGGGTCAGTGGATCTGACCACTCAACCTATGATGTTTACGTTGAGAGCTGGATTTGAACCACCAACCTTTAGATCAGTGGGCAAATGCTCTACCAACTGAGCTACTGCCGCCCCAAACAATAATCTACTTTGGTGACATGGCTGTGATTCCGTGTTTCACTGTTTATCGTAGCACTGACACTTTTCCCCACCCACTCCTCCTCTTGGCCTCACTAAGGCTCTGAGTGAGTGATAGGTGGATTTAACCATTTACAGCTACGTGTGAACTCTTAAAGTTACCTCATGAAAACCACATAAAGATACTATATTAACATGAATTGTGATCAAATTAAAATTGTGATAGGGGATAATGAGGAGATAATCATAATGCGAAGCCAGATCGCCCACTCCTACTCTGTAGATGCACAAAGACACCATGTGATGGGAAATAAAAACTCCACAACAGCAACATTTCAACTTCCTATTCAAATTATCCAAATCGTTATTGTAATGCGATATCCAGTTCAAACACATCACCTATAAACTTTTATTTGGTATCAGCTTATCTAGAGATTCTGTTTTTTATTGGCTTGTAAAATTACAAAATCCCCCCAAATGGCCCAGTTATCCATACTTGGAGTTTTTATACCCCGCAGAGGTGTCTGTTGCTGTAGTGTCTAACCTGCCCCTCACAGATCCGCCTCACGGGGGGCAGGACACGATACGAGGGTCGCGTGGAGCTGCTCATCTCAGATGCTAATGGCACCGAGAGCTGGGGACTGATCTGTGGAGAGGCCTGGACCAACAAAGAGGCAACTGTGGCCTGTAGGCAGCTGGGGCTCGGCTACGCTAACCAGGCTAACCAAGTAGGTCCCTTTGACAATCAGGCTAACCAAGTATCTCAGCAAGATCAGGACCAAACCAGGATTAGAACAGGATCAAACCTTGTGTGAACACACCCTAAAACAAGTTTCCATTGCTGAACATTTTCCTTGTGAGAAAGTACATCTGGTATTGAATATTATTAAATCTATCAAAATTTTAAAATATTAGTGCAACCATTTTCTTCCTCTAAAGGTGAGTAAATTTATGGTCCACTCATTAATTAACAATGCATGCAGAGTCGTCTTCGTAGTCATAACAGCAGTATTAGTAGAAGTATTAGTAGTAGTTGCTTGTCTGCTTCCCATGGCTACACCGTTGTACTCCATGTGGAAGTGCCTCTTTCTAATCAAACTAAATCACAGCTCAGAGTGGTGACCTCATGTGGAAACCTCGCTGTAGTTTCCTCCTAAAAAAGACTAACCACTCTGCCGCCGCCATAACCACGTTTCCAGTCCGTCATTATACAGTATTCTCCAGTGTAAGTGTGAGTGCAGACAGGTCAGAGACGGGACAGGATACGCCCCCTCCTCTGACTCCCTGCAGGGCCTCTGTGCAGATTCGGATAGTGGGCGGTCGCAGCGGGTACGAGGGGCGCGTGGAGGTTCAGGTTGGCTCCAAGTGGGGCACAGTTTGCAGCACGGGATGGACCACTAAAGAAGCCATGGTGGTCTGCAGGCAGCTAGGGCTCGGATACTCCATGCATGCCATCACTGTAAGTATAGGATTCAGATGCCGTGTTCAGGTTACATTACAGTGAAGTGGCCTATATTTTTAAATGGGATAGAAAAATGTCTATGGTTAACTTACTATTTTTGTGTCCTTCTGTGAATATGACAGCATCACTATTGTAAATGATCAGGCTTAACCTTTCGAATATGGATTTGTGTTTTGTTTCATTCACACATATTTGCGTAATCCTTTATTATTATTTATCTTCAAATATCAAAATGCTCTGTTCCACCTTGTGATGTCATGTGAAGGTAGTTTTCAAGTTAATATCTTTTACTTTTTATTCAGTAGAGAGTGACAATTCCAGGGCTGAAATGATCCAAATGATTCTAGTGAAGTTTTATCGAATTTAAAAACACAGTGGAGCACTTCCTGTATTACCACATGACATCACAAGGTGAAACAGGTTTTCTTTGTTTGCAAGAAAACCTCAGCCAAGTAACAACCATAGCATCCGCTCTGACAGCCTGGTGGAAATTCCACAAAATCACACGTTCAACTATCTCACTATCTAACTTCACCCCCATCTGGAATAACCCTGATTTTCTTAGCAACAAAAAAACACTTAATTTTCACTCCTGGGTGCAAAAGGGCATCACACATTTAAAACACATCTTCCATAATAACACCCTGGTGTCATTCCCATACCTGGTCCAGGAGTTCGGCATCACGAGTAATCAGTTTCTGGAATATTCACAACTCAAATCCTCGGTACAGTAAAAAATGTATACTAGTACAGCAAATGTATGCCTTTCCCCTGCAATCTCAGAATTAATCAATATCCCCAACCCCAAAAAACTCCTTTCAAAGATTTATAAAATAATATCTCACTCCGACCAAACTATATCATTACCGTCAATAAAATGGGAACAAGATCTCTCCCTCACTCGTGATGCCAACTTCTGGACCCAGATCTGTAAAAACATTTATCTCATGACAAAAAATGCAAATCTACAACTCATACAATATAAGGTACTCCACAGAACTCACTACACTGGTCAAAAAAATGCTGAAAATGGTTTTCACATCAGAAATTAACTGCACAAATTGCACACAAAACCTCCCCGACACTTATATTCACGCCTTCTGGCATTGCACACCCATCAGGCACTTCTGGGAAGGAATCACAGACTCACTATCCCACTTCATGGGTTGTCGCATCCCCACGTCCCCCTCACTCTGCCTTCTAGGAGACCTTTCAATAATCATAATAGATAATAAAAACCATAAACCTCTCCTTGTGGCCCTAACTATCGCCAAGAAAACTATCCTCATGAACTGGAAATCAAGACACAACATACATCTGACACACTGGAAAAACCTACTCATTGACCATATCTCTCTAGAATACACATCTACTACCCCCGTCAGCACAACAGCACCCCAGTCACCCTGGTCCACCTTCCTCGATTTTCTACAAATGTAATTTCATATTTGATTATTCTTCTCCTCGTTCCTTAACACTTTTCTTTGTCTGGTAGCCTATCACCTTTTGCTTGACATTAAAATAGATGAAGTCCTGAGAGTACATACACATGCACACATGCACACACACATAACACACCCATACACACTCACACACACCTGTACAAACACACGCAATGCCATACACACCGCTTTATTTTATAAAGAAACAGGGATGGGATAGACAGGCTATATAAAGCAGAACTTTAACGTACTTAGGAACACAGCACAAAGTTGTCTGCCTCAGGTCCCTAGCGGGCTGGGCCCTCTCTGCTGTCGCCTGGGTGTTGGGTGTGGGGGTCCACCTACGGGTGCCCGGTTGCGTGCTCTCCCGTCCCCTCAGGGTCTCCCCTCTGTGCTGGCTTCACTCTCTGGTCTACCCCCAAGCTCCTTACCTCCCTGATACTTTTAATGCATCACACCCAACTTTTTTTTTAATGCATCACAAGTCAACCAGGGATGAATGTGGGTTCATGTGTGTGAATTGTGTGAGTGTGTGTGCAGGCTTGTGTGTATGTGGATGTGCGTGCACATTCCTGTGCAGGCAGGTGCGTGCATGCATGTGTGCGTGTGAATGTATGCACATGTACATATATATCAGGGAGGGGGAGCATTCAGACTGGGAGGTGGTTCATTGGGGGGTGGGCCGGCCTGGTCGATGGGTGACCACATGCGGAGCCCTTGGGGTGGCCCCCGCACCCGCCTTGGGGGGCGTGAGTGTGGCTTGGCCTGCTCCCACTTGAGTGGGGATCTGAGGCAAAATGCCAACACACACTTAACAAATTTTCAATACTCAAATTAAATAAGCAATAATACAGGTCAACATTAAATCATCCGCATAGCCTGTCTATCCCCCCCGGCACACATACATACACACGCGTATGCACACACATACACGTATATGCACATACATACATACACGCACGCATATACACACACACACACACACAGACACGTACATAAGGTTCACACTGTCACCAACCCCTGTCATCTTTGTTCCTATTTGTATGTAATGTTCAGTCGTAATGTCTGTCTTGTATCTTGTATGTTGTTTGGTTCCTATTTGTTGTAATCTATGTAGTTTGCAAATAAAAATTATAAAAAAAAAAAAAAGAAAACCTCAGCCTAAATGTGAATGAAACAAAACACAAGTCCAGGTATGTTTTTGATGAAGAAACAACATTATAACATGAAAATCAAAATAACGTAATATGAGCCCTAAAGAATTTAGAATTTTGCATCAGATAAATTTCTATATTATTAATAAACATGAAATGAAATCAACATGAATGAAAAATACATAAGTAGTAATAATATTGCTATTAACAAATAAATGATTCTAACCAGAATGTACCTCCTTAGTTAAAACAACTTATTGTCTCATATATATTATACTATATTTTTTAAGTATTCTTTTATCCTGATTTTTCTTTTCCATCATAAATAATGGTCAGTGATTGATATAATTACCAGTATTCCTGCTTTGTAACATTCTGTTCAATACACATTTCAAAACACTTAAAAATTGAACACATTTTATTAATTCTTTCTTTAGAACAGTGTCCAGATGGCCTTTTACTTAACTGATGTATGATTACCTGAACACCTGGAAATCTTCACAAGCCATAAATTATTACAAAAAATGTGTATATATATTGTTACGAACTGGCTCAAGGTTCGAACAATGGAGAGTCCACACATGTTTAAAAAGAATACAAAAATAGATATTTATTTTAAAAAAAGGTGCAATTAAAGTTGTGGCTGCACAGTGGAGAGAAGAGAAGTGAGCAGTCTCCAGCAGCCAGCTTTAAAGGTGACGGGCCACACCCACAATCAGGTGCAGCTTGTTATGTTGGCCCTCCCACTTGAATCTGGAAGGGAGGAGGGAGAGAGAGAGCCACAGCAGCACAAACATGCACCCACAAATACTGACCCAAGCTGGGGTCGTAACATATATATTTATATATTTTTTGCTACAGATTAAAGAGGAAACCTTAAGTTGTATGTACATTTTTCACAAGGCAATAAAAAGTGTTTGTGGTGGTCTTTTTTCTGTTTAACTTGTTTGAATAAATTGATTTCACAGTAGTTTGCTGGGTGGGTAAAATTTCAAGTATTAAGTGAGATTTTAAATTACACTGACAGAAGCATAAAGCAATATTCTAGACTAAATTAGGTAGATGAAGACAGAGAGTAACTTTAATGGGATCTTTAAACCCTTTACATTGTCATTGTCATCCATTACAAGTCATACATTTTGAAACCATTTATGTTGTCTAGTCTTAGCCTTGTTTTTCCTTTTTTAACATTTGTATGATCCATCCTCAGCTCAGTGTCTCTGCGAACATCCCTGACCCCTGAATCTGTTTTTAAACAATGAAATACATAAACTCCAATGTATGTTTCAGATTAAAGCTACACTGCCTTAGACTTGAGTATGTCAGTCTAAAGGTGCACTGTGTAACTTTTCTGGTGAAAGGTACACTTATTGTTTTGTCTAGAATGTTTCACATTTTGGAGGTATCCTTTCCATGGAGACAAGCATTTTATACCACCATGTTTTTCAAGGGATTTTCGAGGAATTAAAATGCCCATCATGAAGTGAATGCTAGATAGATACAATTAATGTCATACTTTTGAATATTCAGGCAAAACAGTAACATATCCATGGAGACAAGCAGATTTATTTATTCTGGATCCACATCAGTTATTACCACAGCAACAATTGTTCTTCCAAAGGTCCACTCATGGCTCACCAGAAAAGTTACGCTGTGCAGCTTTAAGTAATAGCATTGCAATTGCCTCTTCTCTGACCATATTCTTGTTCTGCCCTCTTGTGTGTCTCTTTTATCTGTTTTATTTAAGGAAACATGGTATTGGGACAGCAGTAATGTGACTGAGATGGTGCTGAGTGGAGTGAAGTGCACTGGTAGTGAGATGTCTCTGAGTCAGTGTCAACATCACAAAACTGTGAGCTGCCAGAGAGCTGCTGCTAAGTTCGCCGCTGGAGTCATCTGTTCCGAGAGTGAGTAGGACAACAGGGAAGACATATAGACAGGGCTGAAGTATTAATGTGATGCAGATGCTAGGGCTGCAAGATTAATCATGGTTAAATTCACTGTAGGATGGGACTTCTGATTCTGGAAGTAAGAATCTGGTTAATTAATCTATAGACATTAAGAAAACTTTATAAAAAAAAAAAAATTTACAGTTTCATGGGGGATAAAATAAGCTAAGCTGTACTCTTGATGATAAAACAAGACAGAATTTGCCATTTGTATTTTCAAGATTTTTATCATTTGTTTTAATTGAATATATTTGTTTTTGAGCCATTTTTACTCCATAGTGAATAGTCTTTGTAAAGCATCATTATATTTTGCTTCCAGAACCAAAGGTCCACACCAATTGTGGTAAAAAAGTTCAAACATTTATTTTTCGTTGCCCAAGACATGAAAAAATTGTTCCTTACTTGTTTTTATGAAGAATAGACAAGTGCCCTCTTTTACAGACTATTGGGTGAAAAAAAGGTAACGTAAAAAATCTATGAATACATCCACTCTTATCCTCCCCTTTATCCCCTCTCAGCGGCATCTGACCTGATCCTGAATGCCCCCCTGGTGCAGCAGACTGTGTACATAGAGGATCGGCCTCTGCACATGTTGTACTGTGCAGCTGAGGAGGACTGTCTGTCTAAAACTGCTGCAAAAGCAAACTGGCCGTATGGACATAGACGGCTGCTGCGCTTCTCCTCACAGATTCACAACATCGGCCGAGCTGACTTCAGACCCAAAGCAGGGCGCCACTCATGGGTCTGGCACGCCTGTCACGGGTACAACTACACATCTCATCAAACTGTTTATATCAGGAAATGTTTGGTTGGTGTTAAAGCCGGTGGTTGGTGACTGCATAATATCAAAAAGTCAGTGCACAATAAACAGTATTAGATCATAAACACTATAGGCCTAAAAAGTGGTATAGTGTTTGAGATGAAGAAAACTTGTGATCCCAAACTTGTGACCCTGTTATTTGCTGGACAATAGTGGTTAGCTTGAAAATAATGGAAAAAAATATCATTGGTTTATCATACTGTAGTGTCCTGTTTACATGTAATTAGATCAGTCTTGTTCTTTTTAACAAATTATGCCATTCTTTGTGCTGAATAGTCACTACCACAGCATGGACATCTTCACTCACTATGACCTGTTAAACTCCAACGGCACCAAAGTGGCAGAGGGACACAAAGCCAGCTTCTGCCTGGAGGACACAGACTGCCAAGAAGGTGAGAAACACAGTTACACTGTATTAAACAGTGATATATAGCAGATAGATGAAAAAGTGATGAAGAAAATGTTTATAGTACTGCAGCTTTCCAGAGCGAGGACACAGCAAAGTTTTTCTTGTTTATTTTCTGAATATAATATCTACTGTAGGCTATAACACACGCCAAAACAAACACAAAACAACAGTAGTCTTAATTCAACAGAGCCAGACTCCTTCTGACCAGTAACTGACAGTAGGACCTCCACATCAGTTTGTCGGCATAGCAGCCAAGAGTCACATACAAAAGCAGTTAAGCCTACATTAAAGGGGCACTGTGTAACTTTTCAATTGAGGGTCCATCACCATCACCTCACATTTATTCAATTGTAGGTGGTTTTATTGCTCTCCATGACGATAGAAAGGTTTAGTGCCATACAAATACAACATACAAAGAAAAGCAGGTAGCAGACCCTCTAACAGAAAAGTTACACGATGCACCTTTAACAATTACAAAAACAACAAAAGGTGTCAATTCTGAACTGAACACAAAATATCAGATCATTACAGCATCATTTGCATGTGTTTGTTTTAGGCGTTTCTAAGAGGTACGAGTGTGCTAACTTTGGGGACCAGGGCATCACGGTGGGCTGCTGGGACTTGTACCGCCACGACATCGACTGTCAGTGGATCGACATCACTGACGTCAAACCTGGAAACTACATTCTACAGGTCAGTCAAAACCAGAGGGACAGATCCATTTCTACCATAGAATACCTGGCTGTCCTCTACCGGTGGCAGGAAATTTGGTGTCTCACAATGATCATGGTCAAGAAAATTGCAATTAACAATTATATCATGATAATTATCAAAGTTGCTCAGAGCTTAAAAATTTTATGAATATGAATAATGATACTTTAAATATTATCAATAGGTTCCATATTTAAACAACTGGTATAGTGTTGTACTTGTTAGTGAAAGTGAAACCAATAATGATTTAGAAGAAAATATCATGGATAAGTATCTTTTTTCTGCACATTCTGGTGATTTATGGCGATTCTTACAATAATATAAAATGTCCTATGAACGATTATTGCCTATCTGTTTCATCATCATAAACAATATTATTTCTGTATTTATTTTGTGTTTATATGAATAGGAACACAAACATAGATTAACAACGCAGTAGTTTGATGCAGATGCATATTCACTAAAAGGCAATGGTATTATTAGTAGAAAAAACAATAAATACAGTGAATGTGCCAAGAGAATCAAATATCAAAATATCACACAGTCATATTTCACTCTCTCTTTCTTCACACACACAGTTTATACATGGCCATGGACATCACATTATCATGAACTAAATATAACTGGACACTCTCTTTTAGATTGTGATAAATCCAAATCATGAAGTGGCAGAGAGCGACTTCACCAACAACGCCATGAAGTGCAACTGTAAATATGACGGACATCGGATCTGGCTCCACAACTGTCACACAGGTACATAATACACCTCTGTTTTAGCCCATGCATTTCTATTAAAACTCTGCAGCTGATGTCATCTACATTCCCTGGGGATAGGATGCTACCTGAGGGTACTGCTCTGTCTGAAGCTCTGTTACTCAAGTTAGACTTGAATTTGCTTTAACACCATCTGGTGTTCAACAATTTAAAGAACTGATACAACAAAAGAGCTGATTTGTGCTGTTGAACAAGAGCATTGCAAATAACATTAGTCACAAACTAGCTAGCATTAGATAACAGTTTTTCAGATAGTCCCTCTCATCTTTTTGTTGAAAATCAGACACCTAAACGGGACCATGAACACACGTATTGATCACAGGCTCCTGAAAATGTGTTGTTTAAATCCATTTAGTGTTTCTTTTTGAGTTTGCAGACTTACCTGAACTTATCTGACTATCTACCCCAGCGTAATGTCACTGCAAAGAATCAGTATTGTGTTTTTGTGAATATTCATTTTCTTTTTGGCTTTCAGGTGATGCCTTCAGTGAAGAAGCAGAGAAGAAGTTTGAGAAATACCCTGGTCAGACCAACAACCAGATTTCATAATCAGAAATAACATTAGTTTTAGTAACTCAGCAGAAGGTGAATTTTGTAAGATTTTATACTTGAATATTCAAGTGCTATTAAGTCAATTCACGGGTTTCAGTGTGATTAAAAAAACATTGTTGTTGTTGTAGCAAATGACAATTAAAATGATGGAAAGCTCTCAAAATGGTGCCTATATACACAGAAAGGAGAAACCCATGAAAATGTCTCCAACAGGATTTTAGTGAATAGTCTGTACATGAGTTTGAATGTTTCATCAAGGCTTTAAAATGTCAGATGTTTACACAGAAAAAACAAAAGTATTAGTAATTTTTTGTTATCATGTTGTTTTGAATGAGAGTACTGCTCAATGGAGTTTTACAATTGTCAGTTCAGTTTTTGTAATATCTGATTTCTAGTGATTTTTCCTCCACTGATAAATTGTGTATGTATTTATTTGAAATGAAGGTGCTCTGAAGTCAATTTGAAGCCGCTGTAGAGTTATTTTTGTTTTATAAAGTTTCATGGTCTAGAAAAACTACCAATTTAAAATACAGTTATGATATAAAACAGATGTAACATTCTTCACAAAATAAAATGATCTCAACTACCCTTGTTGTATTTTTTCTTTGTTTTAAGTTAACTTGGATTGTTATGACTGGGCTATTATATATATTTAAAACATTTATCGTATTTTTCTGTATAGAATAGATGAAGTTTTCTATAGCAGGCCTATATTTAGTGGAGTGTGTAGCAGACTCGTGAGCCTTCTTCTTTGAGCCTAGTCTGGTTTGTTGAAGTCTTTAAACCTGATCATCTTTATCTCATCAGCGCCACTATGAAGAGGATTACACCTGCACGTTGTCACACATGAGCCACATCTTCACCTGCTCATGCTGGACTGTGTACAGTCTATGCGCTAAACCCGACTCAGAGGGAGAACTGCGCCCGCTACAGACAAAGAGCTCACACTACAAGGATAGATGAAATGTTCTATGCAAAATGCTTCATTACATGATGGTTCCTTCATGGTTTGAACTTTGTGTGACAAATACTACTGTAGTTTTAAATACAAATAGACATTTAAATATTTGGCAACTATTGATTATTTATTTATAAACTAGAAAAGCACTCAGAGAGCGCAGACCTCCGCCAAGAACTACCCCCATTTTTTATATAAATTGCGATTAAATCAGTCTTCTGGATCAGATCCGGATCAGCCTTTGGAATATGAAAGAGGATCCCATTGTCCATCCCTGAGTCAAATTTCATGGGGTTTGGTCAATAATTAACCGAGATATTGAGAAACAAATTTTTTGGCCCCATTTACCACAATGTTAACTAAAATTTCAAAGTGATCCAGAATCCAGGATTTCTTCCGAATCACCCCCAAAATGAAATCAGTTCATCCTTTTCACATTTCCAACAAATCCTGAAAATTTCATCAAAATTGGTCCATAACTTTTTGAGTTATGTTGCTAACAGACAAAAAAACAAACAAACAGACAAACACCGGCAAAAACATAACCTCCTTGGCGGAGGTAAAAATATATTTCAAAACCATAAGTAACTTACTGCTTCACGAGTAGCAGTAGTAATAGTGTTAGTAGTAATAGTAGTAGTAGTAGCAGTAGCAGCAGCAGAAGAAGTAGTAACAGTTAGTTAGTGCTCATTTAATAATACTTAAATAAAACCAAATAAAATAATAAACAATTGAGTAGGCTACTTAAATAAAGAGTAAAAAATGACAACGAGTCACAATGGAAAAGCTATTTAGTCATTATGATCACATATATTTACAAAATATAACCATGATAAAAGCAAAATACATAAGATGCACAGCTCACAGGAAAAGTGTGTTGATGGACAAACAGGTTTGGACAAGTTTGAGACCTCTGAAAAATGTGGATGTTTTAAAGCAAATACTGTAACCATATGGAAGGAACCATTTTAAACCAATTACCTTTTTTGTGGGTGACTCTGAGGACAAATTGTTCATGTCAAAATAATGAACTGAACTGATACTGAAAACCCCATGACAAACACCCATTGGTTTCACTTGAGCACAGTCTGTTTAGTAATCCGTCCTTCTTTGTCAATGGCAAAATTATAATTCTTGGGATTGTCCAATGCTTCTTCAATTCGCTGATCCAAATTCTCCATTGTGATGAAGTGTTTTGCCTCTTCCTACACAGTAAAATACAATTATTTATTTAAAATGTCAAATACATGGTATGCAATTAATATGGTGATTAGAAGGTCTTTTTACCTGTAAGCGTAAAAGTTCCTCTTCCTTCATTTTGATAAATTCCTGCTGTTTTTGTTCCCGTTCAAGAGCAGCTTCAAGCTGTTTTCGTTCTGCTTCCTCTTTCTCGATTTGAACCCTCTGCAGCCTGAAAACAAAAACAATGAATTATAATTGTGCATTTGACTAAATATATGAGCTAAAATTAACATAACATCTGAATTCAGTGGTTCTGCAGCATTTGCTGTCAGATTAAGTGTTAGATGAAGTACAGTACTCAATATGTCATGGCAGCTGAGTGTTTGGCTGCTTCTGTGGTTACCTGGCTCACACACTGAGCAGTTTTTTAAACATGTCATTTAACATTCTATCATGGGATTTTAACCAATTAAGAAGTGCAGCATGTACAGTTCAAAGCACACATATGAGAGACTGTTGGATTTTGTGAAAGGAGCTGTTTGTTTTTTCCAGTATCCATGGAGACCGCACAAGAGGCTCACAAAAGAGCTAAGGAGGTAGCTATAGACATTTGAGTTGCTAAAGGTTTTTTACACCATATGCGACAGCAAATGTGACAGAACCCTTCAGAGGAAATATTTTGAGAGAATTAACACAAGGAACTCATTGGATTGTGCGAAATTAACCACAGTTTTTTCTCATATCCATAGAGACCGTGCAAAAGGCTAGCTAAGAAGCTAGCTATGGACATTGAGATGATACAGGCTTTTTACATCATATGTAGAAGCTAATCTTAAAAAAGATCTTCCACTTAAAATTTATACTTAAGTACGGTACTTTACTTTAATTTGTTGCGTCCCACCACTGGATTACAGATGTATTAAACTGATTTATCGTTGTTATTATCATCTTCATATTTACTGATCTTATCCACAAGGTTCAAACTGGCACAAAATTTGGCATCTTTTTAGCATAAATAACATAACAATCCCATTAACAACATCAGTTAACTCAGACCTGAGTTGTAGCATGCGCTGGTTTTCCTCTCTGTTCCAGTCCATCAGGGCACGGTGCTCCTCTGCCTCTTTCCGTGCTCGCTCCTCAGCCAAAGTTCCAGTCTCAGCTTCATACTTCTTCCTCAACACCTCCTCTTTGAATTCCATACTATCAAGAGATAATTCAGTTAATATTGTCCATATTAATAATAACAATAACAATAATAACAATAATAATAATACCTTTTATTTATATAGTGCTTTCCAGAGTACTCAAAGACACTTTACAGAACATAACGTTATATTGTAACCATCAAAAGAGCAACAAGCAAATAACACATGAAAGATAAAAACAGTGAATTATATTGACAAAAGTTAAACATCAAAAGCTACTCTAAATAGATAGCAACGGTACCAACATACTGGCATAATACAGCCTGAAAATTGGTTGATTCAAATGGGTGATCACTTATCCCTGGACGTCTCAAGCACTGCTTAAATCGATTATTTTCTTTACTGACATTGCATTTGCATGACAAGTTCGCTACTCTAAGTTGACTTTGGAGTAGGGCTGCGGCGATTAATTGGAATAATAATGGATAGTCAACAACTCTAAACGTCGAGAGCTCCAATGCAAAGCTACTTACTAGAGTTACATGCCATTTAACGTTAAATTATTCAGAAATGTCTTCAGATACATAAAATTTTTACGTTGACAAAAGTATTCAAGAATAAAATCAGTCAAATCAGTCCATGGGTCAAACACAGTAAGCAGGATGTAACACAACACAAAGATGAACCCAAATGACAAGGGCATGGGAATATGAGGACTTCATTTAATGTGTCTTATTTTTGTAGATTATAACAAGCTATTAACTCACCGAAGGGCACTTAGAATCTGTTGGTACTCGGAGTATCTCTCTTTCAGGACCACCATCTCCACCGGGTCCACGGGCGGAGGGGTTTTGATTCGTGCCTCTTTGGACTTGGCTATCGGGTCGTTGCGAGTCTTTCTGCCGCGGACCGTCTCCACAAGAACGGCTCTTTTCCGGGCGCAGAGCCGGGCTGCCTGGAGGCTCCTGCCGCCTATGGCTTGAAACATCTCCCCTTTGAAATGTGGTCACGAATAAAGCGGTGAGTCAGATTAATAAAGTCAAATTTGATCTAAAGCATGGCAAAATGACATAAGTGCTATCGGCTGACAGCCGCCATATTGATGAACTCCGACCGCCGGAAGAACACGTGACCTATAAGCGTGCCTAAAATAAAATTAAATAATTGAATAAAAAAAAAATAAATATATATATATATATATATATATATATATATATATATATATATATATATATATATATATATATATATATATTTTTTTTTTTTTTATAATAATAATACAAATTAAATAAAATACGAAATAAATAATGTTTTATAACTGTCTGAAAATAGATTTTGTTAAGATTATGGCAGCACAAATTAATTATTTTTGTATCATAATCAATCAATCAAACTTTATTTGTTATTGTTGTTTCATACATTTGAAATGCTGCTTCACACGCAACAG